TTACAACATCACTCTTTATAACTAACAAAAAAAGTTTTATAAATTGACCAAAAATTTGCTAAGTACATAATATTGCATTAATAAAAATTGTTAAGTAAAAGGAAGTGATTAAGAAAGAAAATAAAGTAAGCTAGCTCTTCTTCCCTTTCTTTCTTTTTTGCTCTTTCCAATTGTCTATAAAAATCAAACAGTACTTTAATAATATGTTTTGGTGTTTTTTCTGTGCTTTCTCAAACTAATAATTTATTTATTTAATCAATAACCTTTTTAAAGTATTTTTATGGTAAGCCATTGTATTAAAGTATACAAACTTAATGATAAGTTTTTATTCAAACTTGATGAAACAATATTCGGAGTACATAAATTTGACTATTAATTTAGAATGGAAGTAGTTTCTGTAGCTTCATAACGTTTTACACATTTTTTTTAAAGCACGGTATTCACTCTACATTTGAGCTGAGAGTAGGATAAAAAAAAAAAAAAAAATTTATTCAAAATAACATTTAAACCGATAACTAGTTCAATTTTCAATACAAACCTCATATAATTTACAAGTGACATGAATTAGTACTACTACCATACCTCCTTTAATAGTTATATGCAACTTTGGGGTATTATTTGTGATATATATAAAAAAAAAATAAAAATCCAAAGTTATAGATTACCATTAACGAAGGTAGTATAATTTATAAGGGCACCCTAGACACTCATTAGTCATGACAAAGCAAATTATATAGTTGCTAGTCAAGTCACAAAGACTTTAATCACATTATAACAACACAAATTGCAATTAGTATTAGTAACATAATTATTATTTAATATAATTAAGATGCGGTCTTTGGTAGTAAATATGTCAGATTTCACTCATCTACAGATTCTTCACCCTCTCCATAATAAAATGTACATTATTTTAAAGTTCATCAGCATCTCTGCTCTTCCATTAGATATGATATCTAATTAAATTTAAATGTAACCGACGTGTAATACACTACTGAATTTTTCAAATAGATTTCAATTAATAAATAATAATAAATTAAAATAATATGAGGGTTTGTTGAGAAAATAATGAATTAAGGATAATAACAATAATAGTAATTATACTAATAACACTCAATTTCATCAACATTGTATACTTTCTTGTCCAAAAAAAAAAATTAAAAAAATATATATAAAAAAAATTGTATACAAAAAAAAAACATCTGTATACGAGCCCCCTTATTTGAACACAAATATATACTTGTAGTTGTTATCGTATAAAAGTTAAATGTATTGTTCAAATCATGTCCAAATTCTGATGATCAAATTCGTATTGAATATACAATTAATCGACAAAAATAAAAGTTTGATAAATTGATTATTAGAGTTACATATGAAACTTATGATCGATCAACAATGAAAAGAATAACAAATATTGGTAAACAACTTCGTGAAAAAAATCACTGAATCACCCTCATTTCTTTTAGGGCTTAACTCTTTTTATTTTGTTAAAAGTCTTAAGTGGCGTATGGTTCACGAAAACTAGCTATGAGGCTATGGGCTATTGGTGTTTAAAATCAAGTTCTAAACTCATAGGAGTCATAGCATAGCATGGTAATTCCTAATATAAACCTCATACTAGTTACTGCTGTGCATACCAAAATAATGTCCACTAAAAGCCCTATATACTATGGCCTAATTCAACTTGATCCAAGGATATGAAAAGGATTATTGAATCCACAAGTGAGATTTTAATTTGGTTGATCATCTTATATAATTTTTTATTTTTTATTTTTTTTAAGAAAGGATCATCTTATATAATTGACAACTAATAATATTTGTGTGTTTCAATTGACATCTAACACATTAGTTTCTTCGCCTTATAAAATATATATTACTCTTATATATAGGTAAAAGTTGTCAATATTAATTACTAAGGAAAAAAAGAAGAATTTGCTCCTTTGTATGTGCCTTGAATCAATATATATTTGGCAATAGTTCCACTACACTTGCTTTTGCATAATTCTAATCTAAAATAACATATATTATAAAATTATATCACACTCAACTATTACGAAAGTTATTCTCAAACTACAGATAATAACTCGGAGCATTGTTTGGACCAATAGCCTTCATGATTTTTTTTATTTTATTTTTTTATATATATAATTATTGCATAATAACAATATTGCATAATGCACATCAAATGTTATTATGCACCCAATACACACAATACCATTAGTTAAGTATATAATATGCAAAATGGTCTAGCTATTTGTTTCAACTGATTTTATCTGATTTCAAATAAAATAAGTATAGACTAAAAAAATTCTGATAAGTTTTGACAAAATAAGTAAGTTCAGAAAATTCATACTCCGTATAAAATAAAATCTCACATAATAATATAACTTGATAAAAATAATTTCAGACAAAATTAAATAAACCAAACAAAGCATCTTTTTTAATTTTTTTTTTCAAGGAAAAACAAAGCGTAATATAGTAATCTACCAATACGAAAAATTGAAGTCGAAACATTGAGCTGCCTTATTTTCATCAATTTGGAATTATTCAAATGGTCAAACAAATTAATAATCACAATTTTGGATATGATCGTTATAATTATTTGTTTGATCCAAATCAATTAGGCACTAATGCCCTTATTAAACACATGATATAAAATTATAAATCACATTCTCCATTTATGATACCGTTATAGACCGGGTATAACGCCAAATTTATCTTCACATATCTATAATTTTTTCTTTTATTGTGAATTTTATTTTAATTATAGTAGTGTGTGTCCGATTTTTCCTTCTAAAAATATAAGAGAGAGTACTTGTACAACGTATTTGTCCAACTATTGTGGAGTTTTATTCTTAGTAAGTTTCTTAAAATTTCCGAAAATATCTAATTATATCCATTTTTTTTTTTGAAAACATCTAATTATATCCATTTGTATGACAATATTTTCTTATTTTTCAACATTATGTTGTTATGTCAACAATTTGTTTTTATACATGCCTATAATTTGATTAATATCAAGTTTGATCGTCAATCTAAATCTTTGGTATGCAGCAATTTGTTACTAAAGATTCTTTAATAAATTTCAGTATTTTTCTTTTTGAAAAAACATTACCTTATATACACTAGGTTTTTTTTTCCCTTATATATGTATAATAGTCTTTCTTTTACTAGTTGGCAATTTGGCATAATCTTACAAGAAATTTAGGGCCTGTTTACATTTACTAAACCGAGCTGAACTGATTGGAGCTGAACTGAACTGAACTTAAGCTGAAGTGAACAAGCCCTTAATATAATACTCCGTATCCCTGATATAAAAATAAGTATTCTGTATGGACAAATAACTCTTAATAAAATAAAAGGTGTGTTCTATTCTATTTACTTGATTTTTACTTGTTTGAACTTATTAAGCCTTATTGAAACTTATTTTAGTTGTAATTTAAACTTATCGAAATTTATTAAATTTGAAATAAGTGAAAATAAGGTGAATAGAATAGAACATGATACCATTATTTATTATATGCATTCAAATACACGTATATGTGTATATACGTATTTCAATTTATTTTCACCAGTTTCATGAAACAAGTTTATCTGGTGATTTTTATTATGAATATTGAAGAAGTGAGCATACACGTGAATGATAATCGAGTACAGCTTGGTCAACTACTCTACTTGAGCGAATTGACTTGAGTTTAAACTTCACTTGGTACTTTAACCGTTTAAGTTATTCAAATTTAAAACTCTAACTCAAAAGATAGGGAGAAAATCAGTTTTAACTCGTGATTCTATCTTACCATTATAGAAGTTTGTAATTCGTATATATTAGTGATTGTAAAATTAACTTTTAATTTTTAAAATGAAGGGCTATTATACTCCCCATTCAATACATAGTTATACATTACTCCATATAAGAATATTATGATGGTCAAAATAATGTTGTTTATGCAATACATTTTGATTTACCTTTAAATCTTGAATTTACAATACATCTCATTCGGTCTAAAATTAGTAAAACTAAAAAAAAAAAAAAAAAAAAAAGAATGACAGGAGGGGAAAAAAAAGGGAAGACTTTTTTTTAATCTTGAGGGGAGGGAAGACCTTATTGACGGTACCACTCCCATAATTACTTTGTGTGCTCAATTAAGTTTGTTACAAGTAGTATTTGAAAAAGTACAAAGGACAAATAGCAAAACAAGAATAGAAAAAAAGTCTCCAACAAAAATACAATTTTTTTTTGCCTTTTACTCTCAACATCCCCTCTTTCTCTGTTTTTTTTTTTATTTTTTATTTATTTATTTTTTATTTTTTTCAATATCCCCCCCCCCCCCAACTCCACTGTCATAAATAAAAATCATTAAACCATTTTTTACAATAACTAAATAAAACTCATTAAACCATTTTTTACAATAATGTACAATTTTTTTTTTTAATCCACTAGAACAAAGTTTTTTCATTAACACCAATATCAAAATTTATCAAATTAAACACCTAGGAGTAAAAACACGATTTACTCAACAGTCTTTATTTTCTACATCTTTAACTGATCTTCGAATTGTTTATTACGTGAATTTGCTAATTGTAACAGAAATGCAGTATACAGCAGTCAACACCTCTCAATCTGTTAATCTGTTACACATTCTCCATATATCGATAAATCGATTTCATCAATCATCATCATCAGACCACCTTTTATAATTTTACCAGAATTTGTCAAGCCTCACTCAACGGTCAACAACTCAACACTATCACATATAACCCTTCCTGCATAATCCCACAATATGATAAACCGATTTCATCAATCTTCATCATTATCTTCATCATTATCATCATCATCATCAACAAACCGTCTTTTATAAGAATCTGTCAAGTCCCGCTCGACAACATCAAATATCAAACTTTTTTTTTTATTCAACAATACAATAAAATTAAATTCATTTTTTGAAAAAAAAAAAAAAAGTACAAAAGACAAATAACAAAACAAAAATAGTAAAATGAAAAATTACTTTTTTATTTTATTTATAATTTTTCTTCTTTATCTCTTTCATTCTTTGGAAGTTTAAACTGTGGCTCCTCCCGCTCTTCACTCACTTTCTCTCTCTCCTTCTTCCCCTTCAAACCTTCCTTCAACCCTTTTTATTGAATATCAAATACAACCCACCCACTTTTATCACTTTCTCTCTCCTCTTTCTCTCTCTTCCCCCTATTTTCTCTCTTCAAATCTTTTTGAATGATCCAATTCTTCTAAACCCTAATCATAATAATAATAATTATTATTTTTTTTTTATTTTTTCAACTTTCATCACTTTTTATTTTCTCTGTAAATTTTGAAACTCTTCTGGGGTTTTCTTCAAGCTTCTGTTCTGTGTGTCTCATTCTCCTTTAAGTAAGATAACTTACTCAATCTGTAATTTTTATCATTTTTTTTTGTCTGGGTTTTTATTTTTAAGATTACCCACATTGTTGTTTTTTGTTATGTACTGGGAGAAATTTTCCGGGTTTTCTGCTGATTTTTTGTGAAATTTCCGTAAATTTTGTGGTAGATCTGTTTGTTTATGGGTTTTTTTGAAAAATTTGTGTACCCTTTTCTTCAATTTTATGATTTTGATGTTTTTTTTACTTACTTGTTACCCTTTTTATTCCAGTGCAATGATTTTTCTGGGTTTTTGTTTTTCATTTTTTTGGGAAAATTATTGTTTTTATTTCGTTGATAATCGGATGAACAGGCTGAATTTTGTTCCTTGTTTGCCCAATTTTGAATTTTGAATTGGGTTTGAGCTGATTTTTTAATTAAGAAATTTTTTTGTTTGATTTTTTTAGTGAGTGATAATAGGGTTTTGAGGGTTTTAAGGTTCCTCAACTTTTCAGTCAACAAAATTTGTTTTTAGCAAATTCCCAGATTTTGTTGGGTTTTTTTTTAATTAACTTATGTTGAAAACCTTTTTTGCCTTTGATGATTTCAACTTTTTTAAAAATAAAATAAAAAAATTGCTCTGATGCTTAATGAAATCAATGGATCATTGAGTGAAAAGTTTTGTACTTCTGATTACATCCGGTTTCATATGTTTAGCATCCGATTCGTGGTTGTTTTCGAATGGATTTGTTCTGTGGTACATTTGTATGGTGGTATTGTTCATATACTTGCTCCATTGGCTAACAAAACATGGTTGTACAAGACTGGAATACATGGGACTTGATTGTGCCTCTTGATATCCATTACTCTTGATTATTCGGGTTTGATATACGGTCGAAGAGTGTTAGTAACTCAACTCATATCTTAGCCATAGATTTGACTGATAGTTGAGGAAATGTGGATATAAATGAGAGATAAGACAAGATGATGAGCTCTTATCAAGGAACATTCACATTTTCCATGGATGTTGCCTTGCAAGAAAAGTTTGAATGTAAGGATTGACATAGTATGGTGTATGTTAGTTTTGGATTAAGAGAAGGTTGAATGGCTAATTCCCTTTTACTGCCATTGTTGTTAAGTGGGGTGAGGGCAGGGGTGAGGGTGGGGGTAGAGATTGACTTGTTAGCCACCGGGTTAGGGTTTCCACTACCAATTGTTCATTGATTGATCCTAAAAACATAGTGAGAACTGAGAACCTTGTTAACCATATCAAGGGGGTTTAAGGATTCTTGATAATCTCTGTTTTTAGAAATGAAGGCCACCAAGACAGTAGAGGGTTGTGATATTATGGAACCTAACTCAGATTCGGGCACTAAGGTCAACAAGGTGGGAGGGGGTTGCGAAATTTACTGAACTTGAACTTAGATTTAAGGACTATGCTTATTTTGAGCACCCATTTCAAATGCCATTGTTCTATAGTTAGTTGTGAACTTGTGATCACTTTAAAATTTTTGAATTTTTTTCCTGACAATATGTTGACATCTTCTAATTGTGTATATGTTAAATTCTGAATCCTTTTATCACCCTTTTAATAGAGCACTTTATTTTACAAGCATTTGTGGCATGGAGTTGCTGATTGAGTTTTTATGTGCAGAATTTGAGACTGAGGCATACAGTGCTCTTCTACTAGGTTGATATGAACAAAGAAAATATATCCTCGACCAAAGTAGAAGAGCCTACTCTTCGTGTAACAAGAGCACGGGCTAAAGCTCTTGGTACATCAGGAAGGTTGAACCAGAAACCTCCATTGCCCGAACAGAGTAGAGTTCTTAGAGTGAATTCTAAGAGATTAGCATCGGATGAAAACAATTCGGCAGCTCCAGCTTCCGGTGTTCAAAAGAAGAGAAGAGCCACACTTACAGATGTTACTAATGTGCTTTGTGACAAATCATTTACGGGCTGCTTCACTGCTGGGAAATTTCAGGCAAGAATTCGTGATTTCTTTCTAACTGATCAGTCTATGATTGTATTCATGCCTACTTATTCATATCATATAAAGAAATTTATACAACTAATTGCAAGTGGAAGCTACTAAATTAAACTTTCCTAATACGTGTAAAATTCGTATTACCAATAGTTCTTCTTTGGGTCATAGTTATTTGAAAGAACATTTACTCCATAGTGTCTATAGCCCTGAAATTTCTCCTCTTTTTTTATTAACTAGAAGCCGGAGAAGAAAGTTCCCTTCAGAAAGAGTGTTAAGGTTACCCCAGCTGTCTCAGAAACAGCTCATAATCATGGTGATTCAAATGACAGAATTGCTGAAGATATATCAAAATTGACAGTAGCACCCCTAGAGGTTGCTCCACTGGCAAAGAAAATGATAGCTAGTGATACTTCAAACTTAGATGGGGAACATCATAAGCGAACAAAATTGGAACATGGCTTACCAATCAACCTTACTCCCTGTGAAACAAGAGAGAGACCTGTAATTACTCAGACACTTCAAGAAGGTTTGTATTCTGCTCTCTATTTGCCACTTTGCTAGTATTCTTTGTAATAAATATAGTTGCTGATGCATATGATGCTATCTGAATTTAGAGTATTCTTCTTCAAGGTTATTCAGTACAAGCAGTAGAAAACACAAAGCATATGACTTGAGTTTTTGGATGATATATTCTCTAGCCTGAGAAATCTGTCAACTCTAGAAAGGGCATCCTCTGATATGCCATGTTGGTTGTAGCTTAACGGTCCATTGTAAGATCAGTACATTGCATATGTTTATTTCAGACCATAATTTTTCTGTAGCTTCCTCATCCGTAGAGTTAGATTCTTAACCATCTGCACATCTTTGAAGTTTGTTGCATTATTGGTTTCTATCAATTATGAACTAATGGCTTGTGATTTGTATTAACATCATTTCATGGTATGTTTTATTTGGAGAAAGTATGGATTCTATTTGAGAATTTTAGTAAAGAAAATTTGGTAGTATTGATCATGTAATTGAAGAATTATTAGTGTCACATTGAAGATATGTTAGTTAAAGAATAAGTACATAAAGTATGCAGGCTCCATGATAAAGTATACTATTGCACATACTATGTAAATTACTTTCATAATTTCATTTTCACAACGAATGTAGAAAGCCTGACACTTTTTGGTTTTTGACACAGAGGACAGACTTCATGACAAACCTGGAACCTCCAAGCATCCAAATGTAATAGATATTGATTGGAATGTAAAGGATCCTCTTATGTGCAGCCTTTATGTTTCAGATATATATGAGAACAAACGTGTTACAGAGGTATGTTTGCATCTATACAAATGTTTGCATTTGAAGTATCATGCTTGTAACAGGGGTGGGGATCTCATTTTGATATAGCCAATCTGTTTTCGGCTCTAAAGCTGTTGTAAATTGTTATGGTCATTGTAGTGTGTCTAATAGAAGAAGAAGATTTTCTTGCCATGTTTGACTCTTTTGTTGAGAATCAGATTCTTGTCTGATCTAAGTTGGTCTGGTAGAATTTGCTTTCTCGCTATATAATGTTTCTTATTCGTGTCATGTTTTTTTTTTTTTCAATCCTGCAGCTTAATCAAAGGCTTTCAGTTGACTATATGGAGAAGGTGCAACATGATATCACTCCAAGCATGAGAGGAATTCTTGTTGATTGGCTTGTGGAGGTTAGTGTATGTGTCTACCATCTTGAGAAGCTATTTTTGGTTAACATCGATATGTGAACTTGAATAAATTAAAATCATTATCTAGGACTATAAGATGACACATGTGAAGTATTATGTGAGAGACTGAGCAGTACAAATATCGCTTGCACACTATAAACCAGGCTTGAATTATCAATTTATGTTTTGACAATTAGGCTATGTATCTAACTATCCAATTATCCTTCTAATGAATTAAGCTTATTATTTTTATCGTGTAGTAAACAATGCTCAACTGCTCAAGTTTCTCAATAGGTGAATCAGGGATTAAGCCGAGTTTTTCTTATGAGTTTGCGCCTTTTGCTGATCTTAACTCCACGTCCATTATGCCATCCTTTAAATGTTCCTTCTTTCTTTTTCTTCTTCTTGAGATGTTCTACATGTTAATTAATGTACAATTATCTACTTATCGTCAATTTCCTTCTATGCCTATCAGTTGATTGCAGTTCAGCATTTGATATCTATTTAGAAGTATTATAAATTCACTACACTCTTTAGGCATAAAAATACTAATCTTGTATGAAGAATGTTTATTGTGAGTTTCTGACAAAGGGAGTTTCATATCACTCATAAAGTCACAAGTCATATTATTGTTTTAACTAGTATCATGTGCACTTATCAATTGAAGACTATGAAAAAACTTCCTGTCAGTAACTTTGTTAAATTTTGGGGATTTGCATTTTATTTTGCATGTTTGAATTTTCTCGTGCACACCTTAATTGTTCTAATCTTTTGTTTGTGATTTATCTTAGGTCTCTGAAGAGTACAAATTGGTCCCTGACACTCTTTACCTGACTGTGAATCTCATTGATCGTTATCTTTCTGGGATTTACATTGAAAAGCAAAAATTGCAGTTGCTTGGAGTAACCTGCATGTTGATTGCCTCGTAAGTGGTTATTTGTGCATGCTTAAGGAATATACTACATCTTAGACTTTGATAATAAAATAAAAAAATAATTACTGCCTTCGTCTAAAACTAGCTAATTAATTCTATATTGTGCTAATTCTTATGTTGATAAATGCAGAAAGTACGAAGAAATGAATGCCCCACAAGTTGAAGAATTTTGCTACATCACAGCAAACACTTATGCTAGAGAAGAGGTTAGTTTTTCTCCTTTATATACATGAGCGTCACTGCTGAATTCAATTCTGATATTTGAAGTCTGATTTCTAATGATAAATTAAGATAAATTTTCTACTTTTTTTTATTTTTATTTTTTACACACTACACATTCTATTTGCAAGTGAATGGTTTGTTTATGTTCCTTTTGAAATATCAAGATTTCTTAATTGAAGTTTGATTTATAGGTATTGAATATGGAGAGGAAAGTTCTGAACTTTCTCTGCTTTCAACTGTCTGTTCCCACCATAAAAACATTTTTGAGGTTTGTACGTCTTCCTTACATCATCTCTTTATATTATCTTGACCTGTTGAAAATTATAATTAATAATTATCCATGCCTACTTCTACAGGAGATATATCCATGCAGCTCAAGCTACGTATAAGGTACATCTTAATCATGGGCAGTAATTTATCATAACCTGTATACATGACTGAAGATTAAGCTAGTAGTATAATATTGCGTCGACTAAAGCTGTCATCATTTTTCATCATTATTCATTTGTGCAAGTGCAATTGCTCAGAAGCTAAAACTAACAAAATCCATTTTCAAATTTGTAGGATCGTTTGGCAGACTTAGAGTACTTGGCAAATTACCTAGCCGAATTGACTCTTGTAGAATACAGCTTTCTCAGATTCCTCCCCTCACTCATTGCTGCATCTGCAGTATTCCTTGCCAGATGGACACTTGATCAATCTGATCATCCATGGGTTAGTGATTTATTTCCTTGTCTTTCCTAGTTTGTTTTTGATAGATATCATTTACCCTGCTAACTTTCTGTGTAACCTGTGCATTATCTTTTGTAGAATCCAACTTTAGAGCACTATACTAGCTATAAGTCCACGGAGCTCAAAGTTACAGTAACTGCCATGCAAGATCTGCAATTAAACACCATTAATTGCACGCTGAACGCAATTCGTGAGAAGTACAGACATGAAAAGGTAATTCACATATCAAAGTTTTTATTGATTTATTTTATTACTTTTCTACGTGCTCAAACAGTTTGGTTAGATCAGATTTGGGACAATTGATCTAAATTTCTGTGTTTCAACCTCAAGAGCATTTTTGTTACTTTTCTACGTGCTCAAGCAGTTTGGTGGGGAAATTTTTCATTGATGTTTTGTTGGTCTTTTATTGGTTGGGTCTGTTTGAGCTCTCAAATGAGGTGCATTTTTGTGATCTTTCTGTTAAACTTGATTATAGGGATTAACTAGATTTGAAATTTTCAAATAAAACTTTTAGTGGGTTGGGTGCTTCTCAATTTGGTTCAAGTAAGCGTATTAATAGGCCTACTTATGAAACGGTGCATGTCATAACCTCACAGTTAATCTATCATTACATGATACCTTCAACCTATATCTTCTAACAGAAAAATTTTATGGTTGCAGTTCAATTGTGTGGCAAATCTGTTATCTCCTGAATCAGTTCAGTCCCTTTTCTGAAGTTCAAAGTGTAGCTGCGATCCAATCTTGTACAAGCTGAGTTAAGATAATTATTCGTTGACATCTTGAGAACGGCTGATCTCCCTAACCACAGCCATCTCTCCAGCTTTTTCCATCCCTTCTCTTCATGTTCAAATTCTTTCATTTTTGTTGTAACGTCCAATGTCGTTAAATTCAGTTCTGGCTCTCTCAGAACTATTGTTAAATTTAGGCACCTAAGGCGTTAACTTACATATTTGGAAATGCCCTTACAGGAGCTGTCTTTTTTCTTTCTTCTTTTATTTCTTCTTCTTTTTTTTTTTTTAACCTTCTAGGTTTCAGGAGCACCCTAGAATTGCTTAGGGGTTGCTATAAATGTGAACATCTGTAACTAAACCTGAAATTAGTATATTCTAAAATAAAGCATCACTTATATACATTGTATTTTATCTTGTTGAACCGAATGTGTTCCAATTTGCACTATATGAGAAACCGCCATTTTAAAGGTTCATACTTGAAGGTTATAGTCGAGTAGTGTATTAGTAGTGGCTAGTCGATAGGCCTAGCGCACCTGAACCGCCTTGGTTAAGCTATGCAAGCCATTGTGACACTGTAATTTTGCTGCTTGACCTGGATTGCACAATGAGCAGCTTTAAGCTTTGGAACAGTTTTTCAGCAAAAATAAATTATTGTTCAGGCACACTTTTGAATATTGGGAGCCAAGTGCTGAACTGAATATTGAAAGCTCAACAACTTTGTGGCAATAATCAGCCCCCCTTCCTCTAATGTTTCTTAAGAATCTCAACCACTCAATCTCTCATTCTCCTACTACATTAAACCAGGAATAATAGTTCTTACTTTGGTTGGTTATTTAGACATATTCCCTAATTTTGCCAGTTCACTATATCGCTAAAAGATGTAGATGTCAACTATTTTAGTTGATTGAAATCATAAGTATGGTATTAACTTAAAATCAAATCATGTTTACATCATTTGTTCTTTATGGCTTTCTACAATTTTATCACTTGGAATGAATCTCGTACACTTCCAACACTCCTTAGTTTAATAAAAGTTTGATAATTTAATTGGTTCTCTCTCTCTTATTCTCCGAATTCCCTTTCTGGTATGAAATAATAAAGATGAACGCAAGTGCACCTCTTTTCATAAGTTCATAAACGCTCACAACATTTCTTTTGACCTATTCTATTTCTATTTATTGCGTAGGTAAATATAAAGCTTGTAAAATTTTAACTAAATATACCCATGCAATTTTTTGTATAAATGCGTTCATTTATTTTTTTTTTATTTTTTTTTCATATAATATAATCTCTCGCACTCCCTCGTATTTCTCAAGACTTTTCTCATTTTTGTCCATTCCTTCCTCATCATAAAATCTTCCCTCTTCACAATTTTGATCCACTCAACCACTCCACTCTCAATGTCTCAGCCAAAAAAAATTTATCCATCTTTGTCACATGACTTTTGCAACTTCAAGGCCTCACTTAGTCACTTGTAGCCCTCACGCCTATCATTGCCTACCCTATTTCTTATTAAGGTTTTATATTATGTGGCTACAATAAACAAAGCAGTCATTAGAATGATGCTCCATTCATTATTGCCAACTAAGTCAAAAATTAACCTTTATTGTCAAAGCTTGTTCTAACACCTATGTATCTAATGGGTTGTTTGGTAGGCGGTAATAGAAAAATGAAATTAAAAGAGTGAAGAAAATTTCATGTTGATATCCATGGTTTAATGGTATGAAACTATTTTCCTTACAAAAATTATTCCCTATTTTTTTTATTCTTTACGTGTGACTTTTATAGTCAACTTATAAAAACTTTGACCATATAATTATATCATGTGAAAATTTGTTAGATTTAACTTGAAACACAGTTTCAAATATTATTATTGTTTAAAATTTTTATTCATATCTTACTGAATATATTCAAAGTCAAAGATGTGTAATGGAAACCATAAATGTTGGGTCCTGGTTATTCATCTTGTTGGGCCGCACTCACACCACAACTCCACACTAGTATGATATTGTCCGCTTTGGGCTTAGCCCACACTCACCAAGTCACATTGGATATTGTGTTTGTCCCTAGCCGAACCATCGACTTCGATACCACTTATTGGACCTAGGTCGTCCACCTTGTTGGGCCGCACTCACACTTCAATTCCGCATCAGTGTGATATTGTTTGCTTTGGCCTAGCCCACACGGATTGTTTTTGGGTTACTTTCAAAAGACCTCATGCATCTTAATTAAGGACTTGAGGTATGCTTATAAGGAAGTCTTTTTTTCCTTCTATTGGGACTTGGATTGCCTATCCCAACAGTAAATTATAACATAAATACGTAGTAATAGAAATAGAGAGCATAATAGTTAAAATTATGCATTGATAATGTGTAAAAATCAAAATGTTGATTCTTACATATTCAAACTATCATCCCTTACCACACAAATAAGAATGGCAGATTATGTAGAGTGATAACTAAAGTTATCAAAATTGGAATTCTACTTTGAATCGGAAGGGACTATCATAAATCGTCGTAAAATCAAATCGTAGAATCTTACCGACATGCATAATCAAGACGTCAAATCTAAAAATTAATTAAATATATTGAAATTATAAGTTTGAAACCTAATTATGATAGATAATAATTATTTACCCATTAAGCAATCATTACTTTTTTTTTTTGAGGAAAGCAAGCAATCATTACTTGACAATATATATTTTAAAAAATATATATAAACATGTTTTAAACTTGTAAGGATTTCGCTAGTTAAGAAAAATATGTAAAGTCGGGCAGAATTGTAAATTGAATCATATGACATATATGAATCGTTAAATCAAGATTCTAAGATTTAAATCGGCATTTTAGTAACAATGGTGATAACAAAAGATAGATGGAAAAATTAAAGATAATTAAGGGTAGAAAAGCATTAATGTTGCCTTAGTTTAGTTTGTTTGCTCAATCAAACTTGCTATCAATGCCAATTTTACGGGAAGCTAAGTTTTTTTTAAAAAATAAATAAATAGAAATCGCAGACGAGTTTTTAAAACTTATTATTTGAAAGTAAATTAGCTCTACCAAGATATAACTTGGCAAGAATAGTACTTCCTCTGTTCTTTTTTACTTGACCTGTTTCTTTTATTACGATTGACAATGCAAAACTTTAGCGGTCAATAACTTTAATTCTCCATAATTAAAAAAAATATAAAAGTTATATATTATGATAGTACTTATTGAGACGAACTCAAAATGATCCAACATGAATATGTTATTCCTTACATATTATTCACAAACCACGGTCAAATGAGTGGTAGTGAATAGTGTAAAAGTCAAAGTGGGTCAAGTAAAAAAGAACAGAGGAAGTATTAAAAAACGGATAAAATAAACAATAAAAGAATTAGAATAAGTTCTAGCATTGCACCCCCCCCCCCCAAAAAAAAAAAAGGAATAAGTTCCAGCAATTACTTATTCAATTCATCATTCTTAGATTATGTATTGTTACAGTTTTTATTTTATTTTTTAAAATTATGTGATATTGGGGATAGAAAAAGATTATAATGGAGTGTTAAGGTAATAGACATATACTCCATACTATATTACTATGCATATGTTTTGATAATTGTGATGTATATATATGCCAAAGAAAGAAAAAAGATGGGTGAGTGGTAAATTTGTCAAAAAGAAGAAAAGTAAAACTATCAGTTCATCAAATTTAAGGAGATACTTTTGCTTTTATATAGTTGTGCGCAAAATTGATCATTAAAAAAAAAGATAAAATCTTCCAGATTACATAGGTAAAATAAATTATAAAAAGAAGACAGATTGAGGCTGTAAATTATGAACATACAATACATTTTACTTTCTGAACATTATCTATACAAGTTTAGCCTTTTGTGTTTGTGTTTGTGAGATAGATGGATAACATTTTTTGTCTATTTCAATATAATCCCAAGATCCATATTGGCTTTGAATTATAATGGTACATTTTGTAATTTACAAAAAATATTTCGATGTCGATGTTGTGTATAACTGCATATGCAGTCGATCTACAAAGTTTAAGTACTTCGTAAAAAAATTTAAATTTATATTCAACCAAACAACCACTACTATTGTTACTCCTGTAAAGTTAAGTAATAGAAGATCAACTTATTTTGCATTTTCACCTTAGTTGAGTTAAACAAGAGACAAGTTTTGTGTGATCTGTATCACCAATTAAACATGTTTTCTAGGCAATGATATCCGAAATCTAGGTTCGAAATTCATCCACCTTGGCTGAAAAGAAATAGGAATAGAGAGAGGTTCACCCATCATGTAAATTTCATGGAAACAAAAGAGGCTTTTTACAATTGCTAGGAAATGGGCAAACCCTTTCTTACTACTAACTTGACAGGGGAGCAAAACCCAATTAGCCAATCAGTTACAGAAGATGACATCAAAGCGAAAGAAGCATCACAAGAAGATCAAAAACAAGTTACAACAACAGACCTATTCACTCGACAATCCGTATAAAAAAAAATGCCCAAGCGAAATTAGGCCTTTACACCTCTCATACATTCCTTCTGGTTCTCCCCCCAAACTAGACAACACTCCCAACCCCATATGAAGAAAGCATGGGGTCAAAAACAAGTAGAAAGAGAACCAAACTACAAAGTACAGATTTAAGTTTACGACATACTAACAGGCAACTGAAGGCGCAGATGTTGTTACCATAACAGCAATATTTCCTGTTATCGGCTGTAGACGGGTAGCAGCATCCTCTAGGCGCTCCCAATTCACTTTCCGTTGTTCTGCAATCAAGGACAGTTTTGCCTCATCCTCCCTATATTGCATCTGACACTCAATAAAGAGCGGCTCATCCATTTCCTGGAAGATTTTTCTGACGTTCAAGGTTAGGTTGAGCACTGCTTGGTTCCAGTGGTTTTGAGCATTCCTCTCCAGAGCTGGGAAGATTATAGGAAGGATCACTCCACGGTTGTGTCCAATCAAGTTGAGAATTTGATCATTGTTCCATAGAAACAGTGCCCTTTCAGCCACCTGAAGTGATTAAGATGGAGCATTATATTCTTGGTAATTTCCTCTTTCCAATGTCATATTCAAAAGAACCCCACAGAACCACAATATTACACAAATAAATAATAAAAACTAATAAGGGTATAATACAGTAGGCTAGGTGAACAACTGAACACTGTGTGAAAAGTCTGCGATGTCCTTAACTTTTCCCTCTCTCGGACTATCAGTCTCTCGTTTCTTACCAAGACCAAATTTGTAAAGATGGCCTATTAGATATCTAACTTGTTTATACTTTTTCATAGTAAAACTCCATAACTCATACATTGTATCAAACTATATATAATCAGAAAAAAGGAATGGCAGCCATGAATCTGAATAACAATAGCTGTTGCAGGAGACATATTGGCCAGCAGAACAATGCTCTCATCTAGTCATCTGTTTATGAAACGCCTTTGACAGCTTTGAGTTTCTTCCAAAAGGGAAACATGGGATTAACAGTGAATAAGAGCATATTCTTTGAATGTAAAGCATACTTCCAATAGATGAGACCAAATCTAAGACAGGACAAACCACTGCAGATCTAGAAGGATAAGCACTTTGGTAGGGTAGGGAGGCTATCCTTCAACATACTTTTCTTTTTATGATTTTATCCAGCATTATTTCCGAGTTCAATGAATTTATAGCATCACATTAAAATTTCTCAACTAATTGAAGCACGATAGTATACTGGTTGTAAATTGGATATGTCAGACTGTCAGTGAAGTTGGATCAAAATTCTTAAGTCTTGTAGTTGAATAAAATGCCATACTAAATTGATTATGCAAGCTGCATCATAGAACAATTAGCTCAGTCAAAAAATTGGAAGGGCTTGGGGGGGGGGGGGGGGGGAGGGAGTATGGCATATTAGCAAACACAGACAGCAAATAACCTAAGCAGCTTGAAAGAAGCAAAAGCAAATCAATGCAACTTCTTACAGTAACCATAGCCGAAATTCTTAAGTCTCGATTTTTTCTTCCTGGACAGGATACCACAGTTATATTAATCAAAGTAATTATATACTTAATGTAAAGAAGACCTCTCTAGTCCATAAAAAGTTGAAATCACCAAACAGCAGAAAAGAAGGGGTTTGGGAAAACTTTGATGTTAACTTATACAACTCTTTAACCACATATACATGCCCTTTCGATTGCTATCTGCAGCTGCCCCCAGCAGGTCACACATCCGACAGAAAACAGAATCAAACACACATATTCCATAGTTCCTTACTTAGCAAAACAAATTTCAAAGATACTGAATATTAAAGGGAGGAGGTGGAGGGGAAGGAAAATCAATTTGGGAGAAATATCTAACATATCCTATAGCTATGCTTCAAAGTGCACAAATAAAATAAGCTAAGGATGTAAATATGCTACCTGAAAGTGATAGCTGTTGATACAACACGCAATCCGCGAAAACAATGGGATCATGACCTTTTGAAATTCAAGCATGTTGGTAGATTCTAATATTTCTTCCAACTCACCCAAGAACATCACTTCCTTCTGGCTGTTTGTAATTGGCCAGTACTTCAACAAACCTTTAATCACGGTGCTCGTTAGCTTCGGCTCCTTATCTATGAACTGTGTAATGCAGTAAGACAGCTGCTGAAAGTAGACACCTAAAGATTTTGGTTTATGCAGAGGAATCAAAGCTCTCCACAAAAATATCTTGTGCTCCTCTTTCAAGGGCAAGGCAAACCCACTAATAACACTCCCAAAGATTTCCAACAGTTCTGCAATACCATTATGTTTCTCGGTCTCAAACACAAACCGGTAGAATATATTGCTCATTGCCTTCCGAATATATGGTCTATGGACCATAAATTTACCATATACCCTATGCAGGATAGTCTTTAGACATTCTCTTTCCCTAGGATCCTCGGAATCGAAGAGATCAAGCAGCTTCACTATGAATGAGTGGTCTATGTATTTCTTTGCTACTTTTGCATCAAGCGATGGCGAAGTAATAAACTTGAGCAACAAATCATACACAATCTGCAGGTGTGTCCAAGAAGGATCAAACATGGGTTCATCATCATCATTCTCAGCACCACCTCCACCAGACCTATAATTCGGTGGGAAGACCCGAAACAGATTAACAGAACACATTCTACTCATAGCAAAGATAGCAGGCTCGGGGAACTTAGAAGGCGGTCCCGAGGCAACAAAATCAACGAGTTCAATCAGTGTTTGCCGCTTAATGTCCTTCTCTGAAGTGTTCTTACTAGGGTCATAGAAGTCGAAAGTCACACAGCAAAGATTCAACTTACTTAGGAACAAGTTCATCTTCTCCGAATTCGGAACATCCTTGAAAGACACAAGGGGCTCAATCCCCGCAACCACACTAGTCGGGAACACAGCCGACGACGTGCGCTTCGTGGCATTCGCTTTGCCCGGAGCAGCATTGCCGTTCTGTGCCCGAGCAGTGCCATTGCCAGAACCATTCATATTGGTGTTCAACATAAGATCCCCATTATCAGATTTGAAGGATTTCCTAGGAATCTTGCTAAGAATTTGCTTTAACATGATGAACTTTTCAACTGAATTTCATGTAAAATTCAATCAAAACACTTCAAACCCACATCCCATAAAGAACCCCCAAGATCATAGATCCCCATTAAAGACTACAAATCAAACATACTAAACAACACACACAAAAAACCCAAAATTTAAAAAGAAAATATAAAAATTGTACAGAAATACAGTGCTAAACCATGAACAAATCAGATCTTTATAACATCAGAACATACAACAATAAAGCTAGAAGTTGCTAAAATTACCAGAATTCAACCAAATTAATCAACAAAAAGGTGAAAAATATGGTAAAGAAAAAGTCAGATCTGAATGAAAGAAATTTGAATTAAAGCTACCCTAACCCACCTTAATCTCCCTCTTTTTTTTTCGTTTCAAATTCAAAAAATTAGGGTTCAATTTCACAATCACAACAATTAGAAAATCCCCAATTCGAAAAACAATTATTAAAAAAAAAGACCCACAAAAATTTGAGCTCCAAATTTAGAAATACAACCAAATTAAGAAAAAAGAGAGAAAGATCAGCGTTACCCAGAATCTGAAAATCGAACCTAAGAGCTTGAGTAGTTAATAAAGATCCATCAATGGAGCTCAAATTGAAGAAAAAGGGTAATCTTTAATGGTGGTTTTGTTGAAGAGTAGCTTTCAAAAAACACAAAAAATTGTTAAAAAAATCAGTTTTTTTTTTTTTTCTTTTCAAAAAGGAAGAAGGTGGTGTAGTAGCTGGGTTTTTGTTTGGATCCTAAATGAAAATTTAACCTGATTAAATCAAACAAAGAATGAATTTTTTTGAGAATAATTTATAAATTTTTTTGGGGATGAATAATTTGAGGAAAGTAAGAGGTGTATTTCTCTCTCTCTTTCTATGTTCCTCTTTTTTGTTTGATTTTCTCTCTCCTCTTTGTTTTGAGGAGGTGATGTGGGGTGTGTCTCGATTAATGAGAACAAAATACGATCAGAAAAATAATGGTGGATAGATGCAATTTTCTCAGAAATTGCTCTGGATTTTGTAACAATTTTTTTTAATTGTTTGGACAAAATTAAATTTGATATAGTTAATTTTGGAGATTAGTTATTATAACAACAACAAAAAAAAATTATTTGGGAAATAGGGAACATAAAATTAGGTTCTTTAACATATGGTGTTTAAAATGTTTTTTGGGTTTCAATGGTACTCACTTCGTTTCATAATATAGTTCTTGTTTGTGTTTTTTCACATTATTTAAAAAATAGGAGGAGAATGTGGATAAAATACTTTAATAAAAATGAAAAGTACAATCATAGACAAAAGTTAGAAAGATATAAAGTAGAAAAAAGTACAAATCATGTGCAAAATTTAAGGGTAAATTAAGAAGTACAATGAATAACGTTAAAAAAGTGAGGGTATAAAGTAGAAAAAAGTACAGATCATGCATTAAATTTCACATTGAATCCAAATTTTTGGTTATTTTGGATATTAGTCATCATTGGATTAAACTTATTCTAGGTAAATTAAGTTTGTTTTAAGTTGCAATTTAACTTCAATTAATCTAAGTTGATTTGTAAAAAATAAATGTGGTAAACGGGCAATTAACATTAGTGAGGGTAAATAGACAATTAAAGCTAAGGGTCGTATAAGTGTGCAAACATTATTATTATTATTAAGAGTCATCTAATTTTTTTTTTCTATGTGTATATGGCCGCACACTATTATTCTAAATAGTTTTTTTTAAAAAAAAAATAAATTATCATTAGTGACGGTAAATAAATAATTTAAAAGATATAATTGTTCAAATACTATTCATAAGAGCCATCTCAAACTTTATATTAGGTAGGGATATTGAGCATACAATTCGTTTTTGCAACATCAACAAGCCAACTCGCCTCTACTCCCTCATTAGGCTTAATCGTAGCTACATATAAGTTGATAGGTCACCTCACTCATATCGATTCACCACATTTCATTAACTTAAATCATTAACTACCTTACATTGCAACGGGGGAGGAGGAATTTTTATTATCAATGGTGATTCCTTGAATGAATCTAATAATTGTCTTAATTGTCACCATTAAAATCATTTTAGCTCCTTGTTATAAGAGAGTTTTACTATAATTGTAAATTTTTTTAATTTATTACAATATTTTTCATTCAATGATTTTTTTCTCACTATCCTGCTTTCAGTGTCAATTTTTATTTAAATATACATGCAATTGTATGAATATCATACGAGATCGGTGTGACCTCGAAAAAAAGTCGTAACAAGAGTCCCTAATTGGGCAATCAAAGAAACATTATTACTCATTTACTCGCATTAAATATAGGTCTCGTACTTTGTAATTATAGTTGTATTTGATTGCCCTTAAAAAAAAGTATTTGAATGAATTTAATGTCAGGGAGAAAATTTTTCTTAGGTTTGTTACAAAACTTCACTTTGGGTACATGAATGAAGTTTGCTTGATTCCATTTTGTACTTAAAGTTTATAAATTTACTCTACTAATTTGGGTACAACCGTACAAGGAAGTCTTAATGCCTAATTGAGAGACATTTTACCTGTTGACTCGAATGAACAATGCAAGAGGGGGGGTGAATTGTATTGTTGAGGAAATAGGGTAATTTTTGCGGAATTTTTAAAGAAACTTAAACAAAAACTTTAAAGTGCAAGAGAGATTTTACGTGGAAAACTTCTTGGCCCTAATCAAGAAGAAAAACCACGACCACAAGGGATTTTAATCACAACTCTTAATAATAATAGGGCAAACAACCTATTACAAATTAAGACTTCTAAACTCAAGTTCCTCTACAAACTTAAGTTCCCCCTCAACTGATCCCTCAATCAGTTGAGCTCTCAAATCTCTCTCTTTCTCCTTGCTTCACTCAAAGCAATTTCACACTCTAGAGTTTACCCAAACTCTACCCCAATACAACTCAAGATTAAAACTTCTAAGATGCTAAGTACAAAGACACTCAAGGACTTAAGTGGATTTTTTACTCTTTTAGAAAAGCTAAGAATCGTAATGCTCAAGTGTGTTTTTCAAAACAGAAAACTAAACCTATTTATACAGGAGGAAAGCAGTTGAAAACCTTACGTTTGCCTTAGCTCCCACTATACCACAACTTCCATGAAATAAGGAAGTGCAGTTCGTGGACGCTTGGGCAGCAAGCTGAAGCATACAATAAGGAAGTGATTCCTTTATTTTCTCAACCTCCTTTACCAAGTAAAAGCTGTTTTAAAAAATAGTTTTACCAAGTCAGATTTCCCAAAATATTAGGATAAAATCAGAACAGAAAATCTTTTAATAAATAAGATATTTTTACTTAAAAGATATTTTTCCGAAATAAAATTAAATCTTGTTAAAGAAAGGAAAAATAAAATCTTTATAAACTGAAATTCAATCCACTTAAATCCTATTAATTAACAATGTACTTAACATATATACAAGAAGCCTAAAATAAATAATAAACAATAGACTCCTTGGAACACAGTGAAGCTTCGACTCTGAAGCTTCAGTTCCTCACTCAAGGAACTTGGCTTCTGATTGTCTTCTATGCTCATCCATAGCTCATCCTTAGACCTTGTTCCATGCTCCGTTCTGACTCTAGAACTTCGTTGCATATAAGAATTTGTCAAGTACGTCAAAACTAATAGACAAAAGTTAAAGCCCTTATGGGTTTGCTTAGGTTCCTTGAGTCATCATCAAAACTTAAGATCAACATTACCTATTGTCTCATTGGGTATTATGTTATAAAAAAAGACAAAAATATATGATTGAAATTAAAGATAAAGGACAAGAGAATTAGGTTGTTGTGTAAAAAAAACTGTTAGTAAAGGAAGAGTGAGAACCGCAACACTTTGTATGATAGTCATTTGGTAAGTTCCTCATAGTTGGTCACCAGGAATCCTTTAATTTCTTTTAATACCCAACTGATTATAAAACCATTCGTTTTTTAAAATTATCACAGTGCTGATACATCACACATTACTATTTTCTTTCCAAAAAGAAAAATCAAAAGACCTTTTATTTATAACTTTAGAAGTATCTTTTGGTATCTATTTATCTTTGAGAAACAACAAAAGTTGCAGTTCTGTATATATGGATTTATTTTTTGAAATTTGCTGGGACATTTTTTTGTTGTGATTTTAAAGAATTTTCCTATATGTTTTTGGAAAATGATCAATTTTTATCAAGATGATTATGTCGAAAATCTATACTTATGGCATGTTCTCATTGGTTGAACTCAGCTGAACTGAACTGAACTGAACTGAATATTTTATAAGAGAAGGAAATTAGGAGCTGAATTGAACTGAGCTGAACTGAATATTTTATAAGAGAAGGAAATTAGGAGCTGAACTGAACTGAACTGAACTGAACTGAGCTGAGCTGAGCTGAGCTGAACTGAACTGAATTTCAACGTAAGAAAACAAACCCTTAGTATTTAAAAACAAAAACCATCATCCCTATAATGCCACATGTACATTTAATTTTTTTTCTCCAATGCCACATGTCATTTCATTTAATCTTGTTTTTTAATCCCTTTTTCATATGAAAAAAAACTTTAATTCAATACATGTACAAATTATTGAATGTTGTTTGGTTCACTTTCCTCCAGATTAATTTCAATTATAATTGCATTCAATTTTTACCTCTTCTTCTCCTTTATAAACTATTCATTTGCCAATATAAATATATTTTAAAAAAATTATTTATATATTATACCTATACATAAACCGTGAAGGCTAGTTATTTTTAATTTAAAGATCCAACATCTTGACCTAAACTTATTGATGTTAAGGTTTATTAAGATAGGAATTCAAAAGGTAATCCTTATATTATAAACACTACATAAACTAGTTCTTTTTTTTTTTTGAAGAAAAGTTTAATTAAATAAATGAAATTATTAAATTATTTATATTTCTATTATTTAAGTTGTTCTTGTTTGGAATCTTTAATTTTTATAAAAAAAATTTAGGCAAAGATAACTTCTATATTAATTTAAGATAAGGAGAAATCTCACATTGACTATGATTTTCTCTAATTTGTTAATCCCTAAAGGACACTAATCTAGTTGGGTGATGGTGATCAACAAAATTGTTGTCCCTTCTTACATGAGACCAATAAAACAATATAACTAAAAGAAGCTATAAACATACAAAGTACATGACATCTTCACAATCAAGAATGGAATTGTGTCAAATAATGAATCGAATCATCGAAGAGACGATAGACCAAATAAAGGTTGTTAGATTCAAGGATTACTCTTGTAAGATCATATCTTCATGTTTGTAAACATGATATAGCTGTGTGTGATCGTAATTATTTATTTATTTTTTACAAAAGCAACTAAACGAAAACTTACATCGAGAAACTAACTAAATTTTTTTGTGTAAACATAATAATCTAATATTCGATCAAATATGGCACCGGGCGTGATTGAGCCATCCGCGATGAAGAGAGCTAATACGCTATAGGGGCTAAGGAATAAAAATATCACTTTTTTATATAACAGCACAAGGGTATAGCTATGTGCGTGGGATCTTGTTAATTTTTCTCTTGTCACAAATCACAATGTGTAGTTTACAAAGAAAAACTTATTAATAATTTTTAGAGAATTTTAAAATTAATGCGTGCATTAAAAAAAGGGGGCAAAATGCGAAATAGGGACAAAAAGAAACTTAAATTAAAAGGGAATAAGATTGTGACATTTTTTTTTGACAATAGCAAATGGTACAACACAAAGAAACTACGCATAATTAGACTTGGAAAAATGACATCTTCTTGCAATATCGTTTGCCCTTTGTACCTGTTATCTTGGGACCTTCAAGATTGCGCACCTTTGAAATTTAGGACCCACTTCCTTTATCTCTTTTAACATACTCCGTATAAGTTATCGTGATGTCCTTACCATAGTTAGTGTGTAGATAGTTGAGAAGGGAGATAGAATCTGATAGGATTATGGTCCCCTGTTTTGCTTTTCCTTGGGCCCATTTCATAGCTTCCAAGCAAGCTCAAGCTTCACATTGAATAGCTGATGATGTTGCTCCGTGTTTTCCGCCCTCATCTATTGTGTAGTCTTGATTATTCTTGTGATTGCCCAACTAACCCTTGCTCTAGTAGAATTCTTATGCGAAGAACCATCCACTTATACAATGAAATTGTCATAGCCTAACTTTTCTTTTCCTAGTTGCACATGGTTGAAACCTAGGGGATGATTGGGTCGTCTGTTGTTATCACCGAGTCAACCTCGTGGTGGCTACTATGTTGCTTGAAAACCTCATGGTCCTTCATCGCTAAGTTTTTGAATTACGCAAATAAGCTAGCGATTCCACTAGCACCATTGAAGCATCTTGCATTCCTAGTCTCCCATAAGTTCCATAATGTCGCAATAAATCGGACGCTACGAGTGCTATGCTTACCATTCTCGCTATAAAAGAGCGGGATATAGCTCTTAATCCATGTCCTCAAAGAGTTGGATCCAGGAGAATCAGGGAAAATTGTCAGGGAGCCATTCTCCCGGAATTCCTTTATCAGAATAAGAAATCGAAAGAGATTTTGGCTATCTTCCCTTTCCATCCCGCAAAAGTCACAACTTTCACTAACCTGTATTCCTCTGCTAGCTAAGTTAACCTTAACTGCAATATCGTCATGAAAGAGTTTCCATAAGAAGAGCTTCCATTTCAACTGAATATTCAATCTCAACACCAGCTACATGAAAGTTTGATCCGTAGTGGAGAAGGAGTATCTTTCTAGCATCAATTCCTTTGAGAGGTAGTCGTACCCTATCTTGACTGTGTATCACCCCGATGAATGGTGATTCTAGTACAGGAAATCATCTTCTTTTAGTCCCTTGCATATGGCAGCTCCATCGACAGAATTGATTTTGCACTATTCCAGTCAAAACACTCCCTTATCTTCCCCGCATTCCAAGAAATCCTATCTTCATTAATTTATAAATGTTCATCATGCAATTATCTAAAACATCGCCCGAGTCTTAAAACTACTCTCAATTTCCTAAATATTTGCAATATTCAGGCTGACACACGTGTCAATTCACATGTTTGACTATAAATAAATACAATTATATATGAATAACAAATTAACAATCATAAAATATCTATTATTTTATTAAAACTCAAAGAAACATTGCCCTTATTTTCGTAGGAAATTTGAATGAACCGAGTCTAATTGCGGACTACATGAATTCTTAATAATTTTTATTGGTTTTAAGTTAATTGTTGATTTTTAAAATATGTTACTCCTTTCTTTCCATTAAACTCATACTCTCCTAGGGTGATTCTCATTTAATAATTCTTTTGGATCTTTTACTTTGAAAGATTTTAGATTTATCTTCTCCTAATCATTAATGAATATTTTTTTTTTACAAATTTTTTTTTGAATGAGTAGTTGTGTGGTCCTCTCAATTTACGTTAAAGATACTTTAATTCATTGTTAGTGCATGGGGCTAATCTAGTTTTATAGTAATTTGGGGCATCATTCAGGCTAATAACTAGTTACTCCCTCTGTTTTAAATACTTCCTCCATTTCTCTTGGGCATGTATGCATATGCTAAAATTTTTGATCAATAATATCTTTAACTATCAATAAGTATAAATTCTAACAATTGAAAATTAATAATCTATTCATTGAGACGTTTCCAACTAGTACTCACGAGACTATATTTTTTTCTTATGTATAAATCACAAACATTAGTCAAAGTAGGACAAAATGGACCAAATATTTAAAAATGGAGGGAGAAATACTTAAAAACATGCATCAAGACTAAGGGCCTGTTCTCTTACGTTGAAATTCATTTCAGTTCAGTTCAGTTCAGCTCAGTTCAATTCAGCTCAGTTCAGTTCAGCTCAGTTCAGTTCAGCTCCTAATTTTCTTCTCTTATAAAATATTCATTTCAGTTCAGTTCAGTTCACTTCAATTCAGTTCAGTTTAGTTCAGTTTAGTTCAGCTGAGTTCAGTTCAGTTTAACTGAGTTCAGTCAATGAGAACAGGCGTTAATCTAACAACATAATGAACAATAGCATCTAACTAATTTATATTAGTAAAAAATATAGTCAAAACTAATAGGAACAAATGGAGTATTAGATTACTCAAATCCAGGTTATTAAAATAAAAAAATTTGACAAATCTTTTTTTTTTTTTGAAAGAAAAAAGTTAACAAATACTCCCTTTGTCCCTGATTGATAGTTACTTTTGTCATTTTTTGTGACTCAAAATGTTAGTCACATTTGCTTTGTTCAAGTACCATTAATATTTTTTTTTTTACCAAAATTCTTTAACGTTTGCAAATATATTTGTGCAAATTTAACTTTCCCATGTAAATTAAACTTTTCCATGTACTTTAATTTTTTCTCTCTCTATTTTTTTGCATACCCAATGTAAATTTACTTTTTCAATGTACTTTCTTTATTTCTCCTTAATTCCCGTGATTTTTTTTTTTAGCAAAAATGACTATCAATCGGGGACAGAGGGAGTATAAAACTGAAAAAATTCTTATTATTACATCATTTCATGTGCGCGATTGATTAATGAATAAACAAGTCAAAAAGCCTTCCATTTTTCTACTAAAAAAACATTAAAAATTTAATTTGCTTTAATTACTACTCCCTCTGTCCCTTATTTAGTGGCCTGTATTCTATTTTTGGTAGTCAAAATTTATTCCCCCCGTTTTAAAATACTTGCTCCATTTTTTTATGCGCAGAGTTTTAGGAGAAAGTAATAAATTATAGAGGTAGTGGACTAGTGGGGTAGATGGAAGAATGAAAAACTGTAAAAAGCAAAAGTAGTTGAGAGAATTAGAGGAGAAATAATATGAAATTAATAAAATATGATTATGTTGGGTCCACTAGGTGATAAAGATAAATTAAATATAGTAAAAACTTTCCACATAAGGAAATGAAGTAAGTATTAGAAACGGTTAAAATTGAAAGTGGAGCAAGTATTTAGAAACAGAGGGAGTAGTGATCTATTTCTGTTTTAAGTGTGTACTTTTTTGACAATATTACACTCTTTTTGATGAGTTATCATAATTTTCTTTTGTACTCTTAACATCATTTCACAACACTTTCTCTCTTCCTCTCTTTAACACTACCAACTACATTTTCTTTCTATCTATCTCTCTCTAATCTCACATGCATATTTGTACTCCCAATAATTAGTTTTAAAGAATGTACAACTTTAATAATTCTCGTGAAAAAACCCAAATAGATCACTAAAGACGGGCCAAAGAGAGTACTTCTCCCGTATTAAAGAAGGGAGTATTCACATTTGAAATCTAGCAACTTTTAATAGAGTAGTACGATTTGACAAAATCTTTTAAGGTTGTGCTTTATTTATCCAATTTTCACCTACTTAGGACTTGTTCGACAAAATATAATTGTGAAAGTAACTATTAATTGTGTAGGTAGCTGATAAATATGAAGATAGATAATTTAGGTATGAGTGATTGACAAAGTAATGGTTAACCAGTTGCTACATATAAAAAGAGTATAGATAAAAATTTCAACAACTATCTCTACCTTCAAATGCTAATATTTTAAACTTTTGATACTCCCTCCGTTTTTTTTAAATGCATCATTTTGATTTTTACACTATACACATACCATGATTGACTTAATTTTTTCACCTTTATAAAATAAATAATTGTTATTATATAATATATCAGTAGATTCGTCATAATGTCTAGTTTCATAATATAATTTTGTTATAATTTTTACTAATTACCAATTAAAGATATTAATGGTCAAAGTTGCGTTTCGGCAATTGTGCCGGTCAAAATGATGCAAATAAATAATAATAAAAAAACAGAGGGAGTAAAAGTTACCGCTCCCACTAAAAACTATCGCAACCACAATATTGCCAAAACTCATATTTTTTTTGTTAAGTAGGGGAGCTACTAAAAAGCTAATGCGAAACACGCCCTTAAACTTCTCTAAATCATGCAAAAGCTAAATTATACTTCGTATATAACTAAAATTTCGTAGTATAAGAAAATACATAATCACTTGAGATACAATGAATTATCTCAATTGTTCATTTACTATCCTAAATAATTATTCATAAATATACGTAAATAAATTAAATTATGTATTAACAAACCTATTCAAGCACGTGAACGAATATTCAAAAGAAAAAGGAAGTATCTTCCAAAAGAAAACAGTAAGAAGGAAAACGATTTAGAGCAGAAACTTCACTGAAATTTCTTTCTTCCACCTCTTTTTAAAAATCAATAAGATTAAGATTTTTTTCTTCAATTTTCATCACCTTATTACTATATAAACTTTATTTTCATTATTAAAAAAAAAAAGCAAAAGAAAAGATAATGTTTGAAAAATCAAAGAAATTAATGTGCATCTCTTGCTGACTGACACACAAAGTTAGTCCAAGTATATTCCAAATCGACGCGGCCAAGCAAAATAGGTAAGCACAAAGAATAATTTTGCTGACGCTATTTTTACTTTTTTCCTTTTTATTTTTATTTTTATTTTTGCCATTTGTTGAATTTGCGTAAATCTTGTAAACTCCCAAAAAAATTAAAAATAAGAAGAAAAAAAAAAATAAATAAATCAAACCCCGGTGTTTAAAACCCCATAAAAAATCACTGCAAAATTATTATCCTCATTAATTTTTTGTTATCAGCATTTTTATGGTAAGTTTTTCTTTGATTTTGTTGAGCTAAAATAATAGTAATGATAATAATGATAGGTGGATAGATTTGTGTTTGTTAAGCTGCTTTGAAAATTTAATTATACTGTATTGAGATATGAATTGGGTCAATTTTAGTTCTGAAATTTAAGTTAAATCTGTTAATTTTTCTGGGGTTTGATTGTATTTTTAGGGATTTTGAATCTAATCAGTGTGTTGATTTTGTTTGACTCATTTTGGGTTAGTACTGATTATTAGTCAAAGTTTGAATTTAGGTTTTTTTTGGGAGAATTTTAAGTGATTTTGATTAATTTTACTGTGATGGGTAGTTTTTGATTTTAATCTATTTTGTGGGGTTTTCTTCTTGTTTGTGATTTTGCTGAAATACAATTTTGGAAAATTTCTGGGTTGGTGTAATAATCTGGGCTTAACATTTGATGATTTTGCTGAAATTTTAGGGGTTATTTTCACTCTTTAATTGTTTTAAGTTTTGTATATCATGTGTTGTGACCCTTAAATTCTTGTAAAACTGGGTAATTGGAGCAAACTTGAGCTCTTCATTGTGCCTTTTACTTGGTTTGTACATGGTTGCGGATTCGTGGGGGAATTTGAGTATTTTAGTATCTGTTGCTTGTAATTGTACTGCCTTGGGTTCTGATTTAGTGTAAAGATAAGAAACAGGGTTGCATTTTGAGAACTAGCAAGCTGAACTGGGTGAAAATGTATAATTTCTTGGATTATTAGTTCTTTAATTTGTTTAAAATTTTTGAGGTTTTTATAGAGGCTTCCATTGCATGTATTGAACAAATTTCTACATTTGAAAGAGAACAGAAATTTTAAGTCTTAGTGTCTGACAGTGTTGTTTGTTGATTCTATTAACAGAAGGACCAGGGTTAAGATTCAGTGTACCTTTTAGACTAGTCAATAGCTTGTTATTGGTGGTATCAAGTTATCGCATTAGGCAGGCTCATTAGTGAACATTTTGATTTCTACGGTCTTAAATCGAATCTCCATGCATTCATTCCTCCCGTTTCTATAGGTTGTCTTGAATGGACCTGCGGTTTGCAGATTATCAATGTAATAGCCAATCTGATAAATACCCGTTATTGATGGAGCAACCAGAAAGAAGAAATGAGAATGAGCATGTGATTGACATAAGGAGGAGTTTAGAGGCAGCTTCTTCTGGTTCTGCTCATGATAGAATTTCTAATGAGTTGGACTCTACTCAACCTGAAGACAGGCCTTCAAGTAGTGCCAGGGCTTCCGTTTCTCAGCTTTCACTTCCTCTTTCCAACATTTCAACCTCCAGGAATTCATCAAGCAGAAGAGGGAATGGTCATAGCCGAAGGCGCAGAAGCCCACTAAATTCAGGGTTGTGGATATCTATTGAACTAGCTCTCACCTTAGGTCAGATTGTGGCTTCTATCATAGTATTATCTTTGTCGAGGCACGAGCATCCACGAACTCCATTATTTGCTTGGATTGTGGGTTATGCTACAGGGTGTGTTGCAACTCTCCCTCTTCTCTACTGGCGTTATCTTCATCGTAACCAATCTTCCGAACAAGATGTTTCGCTATCCAGACAACCTTCTTCTAATGGTAATCCAGCTGTTGGACATTCATCTTCTCTTACTACACAAGTTATAGAAGATGATAACCATACCAGTAATTCCAACAGAAGTGCAAGTGCTTTAAGTGTCGCAATGGGAAATGCCAGGTAATGATTGGAATTTTGACACTGGTCCTATGTTTGAAGATCTATAATGCTCTTTTCCATTGCTGATATGCTTTATACATTACTGATCAATTATTGTCCTAGTATTTATTTTGCTGACTATCTATTCATTTATTCATTATGCTGGCTCTTTGCCTTTTGATCTTGCTTCCTACATGTGGGCCCCTATTGTGGACAATGTTTGAATTTTATGTACGTTCGAAAACTATCAGATCATGCACTACTGTACTAATGCCATACACAGAGTAGTATTTTTATATTGAACTGTTAAATTTCTCATGTTTTATGTTACAATTCATGTACATGGATTCAGCTTGTAAATTTAGCTCGGTGCCTGCTTTTTGTGCGTTGACTTCTCTGTATTAAGAAATATGACTTGGATAATAGCAAACGGTTTTTTGTTGTTGTTTTTTTTTTTTGGGGGGGGGGGGTATTGGTAAAGGAGTAAATTGATATGGAGATGGACCATCTACTTCAAAGGGATGCTCTCCTACACTCTTGGGTAATGCCAGTTAGACTTCACATAATCACATTAATTTGGTCCTGGCACTTATTTTTCAATTTTAAGGCCCTAAGGGCTTTAATCAAGCAACTAAGCAATCATCTTTTTTCCTTGAGCATCGCTAAAAATTAAAGCATTAAGGTGATTAAAAAACCAGTTATCATTTATTAAGAGGGGTTGAGATTGTATAGGTAAGACTTAAGAGGTTTTGTAATAACATATTACTTCAGTAGTTCAGTTTTCTTCTGAGGTATGTGGAAATCCTGATGTGGCCCCTTCTTTGCAATTGAATTCTTTGGAACTTGAACTGTTACAAATCTTGTTTTTGGAAGCTGTGGCTGGTACCAAAAGTGTTGCCTTGCTGCTGTGACCACAGCAAAGAAGCCTTTTTGAAACACACCAGAAAGTGATCTTAATGACAATAAATGCCCACTGTAATCCTTGTAAGTTGCAAGGTGGCTGTTTTCTGTGAGACACACATGGTTTATATGTTTTCCACTGTAAACACTTGACCTCCTTGTTGTGCTCCCTGTATAGGGCAAATTGTTGCATGAGGTCAAGATGTTGGCCATTATTTGCCAATTAAGCTTCTTCTTAGAGAGCTAGAATGAAAGTCGGATAACTTCCACTTGACAATTGGTTTGTGATCTGAAAACTCTAATTTACCACCCAAAATTTAGATCTTTTGCCCATGTAACTTCACTTTTTAAATAAATTTGTTATTGATAACTGATAAGTATAGCAGCATCACTTTCCAAACCATCATTGCTGCATGTTTTAATAGTGTTAAAAGTAAAAGTGTTGCGATAACAAATCTGTTTTAAAAGTTCAACCTCTAGTTGCACAAAAACAGAAATTGGAGCCTTGAAGATCCCAAATGTTCATAAAAAACTGGTGTGATGATGCAATTTATTAGCTTTTTATTTTAAAAAATTTTAATTTTTTTTTCGACTGACTAATATAGACTATATAGCTTAATAAAGCTTCATAGACCTGGGTTTTCTGTGCCATGCTTCTCTGTGGCCTTTTGTGCCAAATTTGTTCAGGACTAAGGCCTTCTGTAGCTAGTCCATTAATTTGCTTAATATCATGTACGGCATTTGTTAATAAAATTGTACACTTGTATATGCAAACACTCAAGTATAATACTCGAGCATGCCAAATGAATTGCTTACCTGTCCTATCTTCACAAACTGTGCTCTAAATTAGAAAACCTGGACTGAAATAACTATTACTTTAAAATACAAAACTAGTGTTAAAGAAGATTGTTTTGCTTGATTTTTGTAGAAGTATGTCTGCGTTGTGTATTTCATGCTTTTCCTAAGATATGATAGAAAACAATTTTTGAAGTCAACAAGGTTTGACTACAAAAGTCATACACATGCTACTATTTTGGAACTGAGGAAGTATTCATTCTTTTTACTTATGTGCTCTATGGTGAATTGATTTCATTTTAGGCACCCTAAATTTATTTACTGTAAAATTTGCTAATGTAACAAGATAACAATTTGGACTTCTGCAAGTATTCTGAGAGGTTGGGTCCCGAAGCTTGATTGATTCTTTGTACTCTTTAGTCTTTACTAATAACATAATTACTTAGTTGATTTTTGTTTTTTCCTGGTGCTTTTATTTTTGGTTGCAAATGATATTTTAGAGGAGCAAAAGAAATTTATGTGAACTTCCTTGTGCTACAGGCTAAAGGTCTCAATTGAGTACTTTAAGATGGCCCTAGACTGCTTCTTTGCAATCTGGTTCGTGGTTGGTAATGTGTGGATCTTTGGGGGTCATGCTTCTTCTACTGAAGCTCCCAACTTGTACAGGTAAATGGTCGTGTTTGCGGTTGATCTTCGTAGATTTTCTCCGCTTTGCCTGAGTTACTAACTCAGAAAGTTTCACTCTTATCAGGTTATGTATAGTGTTCCTCATCTTCAGCTGCATAGGATATGCTATGCCATTTATTCTCTGTGCAACAATTTGCTGCTGTCTTCCATGTATAATATCTGTACTAGGCTTTAGGGAAGATTTAAACCAAACCCGAGGAGCAACAACGGAGTCAATTAATGCTCTTCCAATCTACAAATATAAGTTAAAGAAAAACAGACACAATGACGGTGGTAATGAGGCTGGGGTAGTAGCTGCAGGAACAGAGAAGGAACGCGTAATATCAGGAGAAGATGCTGTAAGTGCTTTCTGGCCAATCCTTACCAGCCATGATACTTTGTAATTTGTTATTCTGTTGCTTTATTTTCTTAGTAGTTGTGAACTATATGTCATGAAAACAGAAACAGGAAATGGGTACCTGCCAAGGTAAGTCAGGAAAAGTAGGAAAGTAGAAACTTTTAAATTAAATGGCCGTAAACATACAATGCATTTTTATGTAAAGCTAGAAGTCAATTTTTGATAATATTATTGTAGAAATTGAAGTTAAGTGACATTTAAAGCATGAAAATAGATCAATGGAAACCAAAAATTGCACATGGATCTCCAGCGGTTTGAATTTTGCGTGAGTTAATAACCATGAGGTGGCTGTAAATCTTGAAAAAAATATCTCAAGATTACAAAGATGCATTTCAGGAACAGGAGAAAGTTTTCATGACAATGAAGAGCTATACTGCTATATAATGACTACTGTAGAAATTTTATTATTGGAATGCTCTATTCAATTGTCTAGACTAGATACTTAGCTACTGGCTTATTCAACTTGTTACAATCTCTTGCTTTTAATGAACTGGAAGTGTAAATTCTAATTGCCAATAGTTTTGCATAGTATCAGTTTTCATGTGATTGCTTGTCTAATTATGTAGACAGGTTTGAAATATAGTACAAGGAGTTGATATGTGCAAGCCATAAGTGGCTCGCTGCACCTTGAGCTAAAATCGATCTAGTTAGATGGACTAAAACAAAACAGTCTGCATGTTTAACTTATAAGCCCCAGTATCTAACAATATCTTTGTCCGTTCCTCTATTTATTGGTTGTACTGCCATCTACGCCAAAAGAAGAATTATGTTAGCCATTAGCCAAGTACGACCTTTCTATGATACATAAGATGTAGTTAGCTACTTCCTAAGTTCCTTTTAATTGATGAAGCTAAATATCTGAATCATGATTAAATTATATCTATTCTTGGGTGCTAAATTGCTTGCTCTGTATATAGCAGTTCAAAGCTTAAATTGCCTCACAATGACACTAGAAATGGGTCTAGATCTTATTCTTGTTTTGTGATGCCTGGTTTGGTGATTGTCCAGATCCAGTTATATGACTTTGTCCTCTCTTCTTTCAGGTTTGTTGCATATGCTTGGCGAAATATGCAAACAATGATGAACTTAGGGAGTTGCCATGTACACACTTGTTTCATAAGGAGTGTGTGGATAAATGGCTCAAGATTAATGCACTTTGCCCCCTTTGTAAGAACGAAGTGGGTGAGTCTTTGCTCAGTTCACTTGCTGGGGCAACAGCCAGCCTACGACGAGCTGAGAGTAGGGTAGTTAGCAGTTGAGGAGGCATTGGCTTGTGATATGACCAAACCACCCTATGTTTCTGCAACATCAGCGCCAAGACTATATTATATTCAAGTATTAGAGCCATTCTCTGGCATGATTCGAAGAAGCACCCCATCATTTGGAGGTTTTATCATGCGGTTTCACTTCCATTGCTGTCATGTATCATAATGTCTTAATTAGACCAGTGTTGATAGCTAGAGTTGGTTCATAAACTGAAGAAAAAAGTTGAAAAAGTCTACCTTTTGTAAGATATACACACCTTTTCTGTTTTGTTGGTGATGATTGGCCATGTTCTAAAGCTATTTGGTTCACAATTTCATTATTGTATAATGCTATCTTTAAAATTACAATGTGTTTGGAAAATTAGAAGTGCAGAAAACTCCGGATCTCTAAGATTGTGTATGTTATTCGGAGGAAAATCTATGGAAAAACTACAATGGAGAAATGTATATAAAGTCTTTATTTTTGGTGTTGTAAGTTTATAGATTTTCTTCAAAATTTGAGTGTAAACCGAGTAAAATAAGAAATGGAAGATATAGATTATTATCTAAAATGTAATAAGAAGAATTACTCTACCGGTTTGGAATCTCTTATAGTTTAACCTAACTTGAGTAACTGGGCTAGAAACTTTGAGTTCAAGGGGTTAAGGGGAGTCCAACTTTCAAAGTGCCCTTAGTGGGTATTGGACCTCCAATTTGAATGTTATAAGACTTTTTTTTTTTCTTCTAATCACTAGATTGACCTCGCTTGGTGGAAATAGATTTATTAGCCAATAGCTTTTCACAAGATAAGGCAATCATGAAACATACGAAATACTCATATTGAAAAAGCTTTGTCATTTAATTCCAGTGAGCAAATTAAATAATATTTGAAATTAAGAAACTTGCACACTAAATCAGTAAATACCATCAGCAAATTACATAAAATTAAACTTAAGAAAGTAGAGGAAAAAAAAAAAAAAAGAAACATAAAAGAAAGTGAGAAGTTGGCTCTATTTGTCAATATATACAATGTGCCTCTTAACATGTGGGGTTTGAAATTTTAGGCCATGTCTGATAACACATTTCAGGTACCTTAAATGATAAGATAGTGAAATTTTAAGGCACTTAAATGACTAAGCTAGAACTGTTTGATAAGCATCTTAAATCAAATTATAAGACTTTATTGAGATGTTAATTAGAGTACCATCTCAAATTAAGGTTCATAATTTTGTAGTTATCCCTTTAAATTCTTTTTATTGTAAAATATATATTATTATTTAAAAGTAATTTATGCTACCTAAAAAAAAGGTTCTACCAAACATCTAATGAAATCTAATACCTTATTAATTTCAGCAACTTATCAATTTCAATTACCTTACTAATTTCAGCTAATTTATCAGTTTCAGCTCCATTTTAGATATCGTGGCCAAACATAGCTTTTGAAAAAGGATGTTATGTGTTTTGATGATATCACATTTACACGTTTAACAAAAATGTAAGGCCTCATTTAATTAGGGACCTGTTATGATTGGTGTCCTTGTTAGGTTGGCCTTAGCCGAGCAAGGAGGCATGAACACATGACAATAAATTGAGTTTAAATTTATTCTTGGCCAAGATTCTTTTTTTAAAGTATCTTTTCATGAAGAGTTACTTAACCCAAAAACTCTTTTATTGATGCAAAAATAAGTTATCAAATTTCTCTCTTTCTCCCTTCCCCCCTAGGTTGTTGGTTCTTCCTTTTGGTTGAATTTCTCTCCCCTTCAAGAGCTAGTTGGAGAGTTAAAGAACCTCATTGCACCTATTCTTATACATAGAAATGCTTTTGTAATTTAATTAGAATAATTATTTTCAAGTTGAGGAAATTTATTCTCATTCTTTAAAACCCAAGATTTTTCTTAAAACAAAAAAAACAAGAATTATAGGAATATGTATATATATCTTCTTGGAATATTAGTTTCCTCCCACCTATCACTAAAAATTTATAAATATTCTAAATTTTATCGTAATATTCTTGCTTTAGTGCATAACGTACCTTGATGTCATCGATTTTCTTTTGGAAGTTTTACAAATTTTTAGCAATATGTGGAAAAATTATTCCACCTCGTGATTTTGTAGATTCATCACACATCAGCTTTTACTCGTAATAAGAATTCAATGAGGGTTCTATAAGGCTATGATAGGTGGTTTTTACAAAAACAATGTCTTGTATTTTTAGAATACAATTCCACCAACATTTTTACTTATACATATAGTATATATATATTGTCGTAACATTACTTTTATACTCTACTAGGTTAGCATCTGTGCGATGCACGGGTTTACCAGTAATTTATATTTGAATTTTCGTAATTTTTTTTTTGAGTTTAAAACGTTCATAAGTTCAATTAATTGACCTCAATAATGCTAACAACTCCTATAAAGATTCTAACAACCTATTATCAACATAAATCACCAAAGTAATAGGTACTTATTTTAAATTAATTATCTAAAAAATAGCTACAATCTGTTTTTAATTAATTAGCATTTAGTTTTAAAAAAAATAAAAATATTTGAGCGGGAAATTTTTTCATGAAATAGCGCCACGTGTACAATTTTGAATAACGATGACATCAGCGGTTGCTACTTTAGTACTTCCTCCGTTCTGTTAATATTGCAACAAGGAGGAAATTACGCATCCTGAAACACCTTTTATATGCTAAATATCTATAATTGTGTAAGAGTAAAAATTATAAAAAGTTGATATTGTGAAAATATTTTATGAGACGAATCCAGCAAGATCCCACTTGACTATATTTTGCTTAACGTATAACTCATATTACATGGTCAAACAAGAGTGATGAATAGTGCAAAAAGTCCATTGTTGCAATATTAATAGAACGGAGGAAGTATTAGTTATAGATAGATTATTTACACACTTACTTTGACTCACGTTGTTGATTTAATGTCTTTTAAAGTTCTTTAACATGAATCATTAGTAGTTTATTTATTTATTTATTTTTTATACGTAGTTATATCTTCGTTTGAATTAATACTGTCCAATACTTTATATAAACAGCTTGTCAAAATCGTATTTTACAAGGGATGTGTTTGGTAAACAACTTATTTGAGCAAAATTAGTTTTTTTGACTAACATTAGCTTATTGACTACAATATTAAATAAGCTAATTCAAGGTGTTTGGTGGGAAACTTATTTAAAGATCTTATTCTACTAAATAAGCTCTTAATGGAAGCCTTTTCAATTAGCTTATTCATTAATATATGGTAAAATGACACTTATAACCCTATTTAATTTAAAATCCTACCTAAACTACCTATCCCACAATTAGCTTATTAGTCATTTTACATATTTAAACAACTTTAAGCTATAAGCTATTTACCTGACACTTTTATACAATTAGCTAATAAAATAAGTTAGTCAAATCAATTAATATAATCAGCTAGTCAAAATTAGCTAATATAATAAGATTCAGCTTTCAGCTTTAATCTATTCACCAAACACGACCACTTTTTTTTTTATCAAAAATATAAAGCTAGAGCTTGTAATAATACAAAGACAATAATAAATTGATTTTTCATGAAAAATTAAAAGGTCAGAAATTAACACAAATTGTAAACTCCTGGAACAAAAATCTCAACAGTAAAAGCTTTCTCTTTCTTTCTTATCTCTCATTTTTTAGGGTTCTAGCTTCTTCTCTCACTTTCTCTCTCCTTTTCCCCAAATTTCATTCTCCTTCTTCTTCTTCGACTTCACTTTGGGAAAAATCATTCTATCGGTAAGCATTTAAACCTAATTTATCCATCAATTCGCTTTCAATTTTATTGCTTTTCAATGATAATTTTTCGATTTTTAGTTTAAATTTGATTATTTTGTTGATTCGATTCGATTTCAGCTATATTTCGGTTTTATTTCAGAATACTTTTCGATTATTAGGGTTTTTCGGGATTGAATAATGCAATTTATGAAATGCGAAGTATTATTTATTGGTCCTTAATTTGACCGGATGACGGTATTTTGATTTGGGTTTTTATTTTTAATTATGTTTTGTGAGGTTGTTGTGCTGTAATTTTGAATTTGAATATGGTTTTATTTATCGAGGGGATGGTTTTTTCAATGTTTTGTAGCCTAATTGGAAGAAAAGGCGATTGCTTGTTTGCTGAAATTAGGGTTTTTGAGGTTTGGTAGTTGAATATATAGCTCGCAATTTTTTGGGGTGATTGTTAATTGCTGTTTTCTGGAATTGAAACATTGGTAGATTGAGGTTTTAAGACATTGGTGTTCTTCAGTGAATTAGGGTGTTTTAACATTTGAAGTTATAGCTTGTAATTAAATAAATCTTGGTATTTGATGTTTATGTGAACAGAAGTACATAAAGTATGAAGAATTGCCATTTCAAGGTATTGGTGTTCTTCAGTGAATTAGGGTATTTGAAGTTATGTCTAGAAGCAAAATTACAATTGTTAAAGTTATTGGTATATGTCTTTTTCTGGAATTGAAATATATTTAGAATTTGATTATCAAGGTATTTGTGCTCTTCAGTGAATTAGGGTATTTGAAGTTATAATCGTGAATGAAAGGTACTTGTTACGGTGACTGGTACTTTTTTTTTTTCTAGAATTGGAGCAAATTCAAATTTGGGTTTTAAGGTATTGGTATTAAGCTTGACTTGATTTAAGAATGTTGTCTCGTTCATGTGTCCTTAAATCAGGTATTTTGAGGTGGGATGCTTAGATCCTTAATCTATTTTTTTTTCCTTTTGTAATTTCCTTTTATAATGAATTGTAACTCCTTTAATAGTGTGAAGAATCGCCATTTTCTTCCAAATAAATGGAATATGCAGCGGTATCTCTGTATGTGTGATATAACATTATCCACACCTTTGATAAAATACACCATTGTGTTAGATTACCCGATTCCCCCCCCCTATACTTTTTAGTACATTGACCTTTTTCCTCCTCACCAAAACATTACATATTTTTGAATGATTTCTAGCTATTTAGCTTATATGACTTTGTTTCTTAGCTCTCACCTTTGTAGTTATGATTGAAGATTTGAAGCAATTTTAGCTTACTGACTGTTGTAAATAAAACAGGTCCTGACAATATTCCATGGTCTTGAAAAATTAGCGTGCCTCATTTAGAAACTTAAGATATATCATATACTTCCTCCGTTTTCTTTTAGATGCAACACACACTTTTTCACGGTATTTAAGAAGTGTGGGGTTCACATGATATAATACACTTTAAAATGGGATGAGTGGTTGTTAGGAGTGTAATTTAGTGGGCCATGTGCTTTAAATAAGGGAAATAGTATAGTTTTTCCCTAAAGTAACTTTCCTTTTATAGTGTGTTGCAAGTAAAAGAAAACGGAGGAAGTATATTTTTAAGAAAGCACTGTACCCAGTGTTCTAGGTAGGGGTGTATTTCTTTTTTTTTTTTTTTTTTTTTTTTTTTTTTTTTTTTTTTTTTGGTGAGAAGTTAAGTAATTCAGCATATGAAGTTTGTGGCTTTGTGCCCTTCTGTAGGCACAAGCACAATGCCCATTAATCCTATTTATTAAGATCTCTAGACATTGTGCTTTTACTAAAGGTGGGGATTAACTAGATGACAAGCTTCATGCATTATGTGCTCTACTCGCAATATTTTAAACAGCCAAACAGGTAATCTTATCAACAAATGTATCGACTAGTGTGATTGTACGGGCTTTTAGTTTTATTTATAAGTAGATTTTCTTTCTCAAAGTATCTGTATGTCTTGTCTGTTAATGCTTATAGTTTTCATGTGTTTGCACTTTAGCTGCTTGCTCTATAGTAGGTACTTGGTTTACTGCTTCAGATCCCAGTTTCAGCCTAAATATTTTATGAATATAATTAAGATTTAAACACATGCAAGGAAAGAACTAATCATGAATAGTTCATTTATAAGTAAATTGGGAGGGAACAGATTTAGCAAAGTTCATCAATGAATTACATTATGGATGCATCTTGCATGGGTTCAATTTCTGTTGTCCACCCAAATGATGCCTGTGACCAAGCTCTTTGTAGAACTATTTCTATTTTAGCTGTTTTGTTGATTTGATTATTTTTTTCTTTATGTAACTTACAAATATACATAGTTCTGATAAGTATTATGTTTTTGTCTTTGCAGACTGCCCTTCATCATTCCAGTGGCAAACTTGGATTTACTGTTGTGAAGCACAAATTGCACATCTGTTTATATGCTAGCCCAATATGTTGAATACTCTCGTCTCAGGGCAGTTATCTCTACCAACGTTGCCTGATAGTCAGATGAGTCGTTTGAATTCAATTATGAGCAGAGCTGATTCCTCAATTTCAGAATCATTAGAGGGAGCAGTTGAACCTTTGAACAGCAAAATAACATCAACATCTGGTAATATGCATGAGCAATTTGAGTATGTGCCAACTAATATGGGTATGCACCCTAATTCAGGCCAATCAGAATTGTTAGTTCCAAGTAAGCGGAAGGCGACAACTGAACCAATACCTGATAATTGGGATTTACAAAAGATTGCTTCTAACAAGAGAGCTGCTCCACTGGGGTCAAATGCTAAAGGTCATAGTGTGTCTTCTGCTATAAATAAAAAACCTATGCCAAACACATCAAAGATTAGTGCTTCTGGTAAAAAAGTGATGCACTTGGATTCTTTTGTGAATAAGTCTCAGTCAACTGTTTCAAAAAAAAAATTCACAGCCAGAAGTCTCTCCAAAAAGCCAGGGAGAGTCATATGATTCTGTTAGGGCCAAGCTGAGGGAATCTTTAGCTTCTGCGCTGGCCCTGGTTACCTCAGATGGAAAGATGAAGACAGAAATTGAGGTTGAAGCAAATACTCAGGAGGGCTTAAAAGAGCATAAACCTTTAGTTTGTGAATCAAGTGCTGGAGCTGCTAACATGGAGCTCAAGGGTGAAGATTCTAGTACCTCTGGCATTCTTACTGATGGGTGCAATGATGACAAGAAAGTATCACTGGGAATCCATTTAAAAGGAACATGTAGTGATGACAATCAGGCATGGAGCTTTATGGGAACAGAATTTCATTCTGATCCCATGTTAGCTGGTGATGATTCACTGTTTAGTGATGGCCTGTTTTTCAAAGATGATCTTTTGCAGGGGAATGGTCTTTCATGGGTTTCAGATACTTCGCATATATCAAACTTTAATGAAGTTGACAATATTGTGACGTCTGATGCGATGCGTGAGGATGTAAATTTTAATGTTAAGGAGAAAACAATTCAGTCTCCAGATTCTCTTGCCTTTGAAATCGAAACAGAGCTTTTCAAATTATTTGGTGGTGTAAATAAGAAATATAAAGAGAAGGGAAGATCACTGTTGTTCAACTTGAAAGATCGTAATAATCCTGAGCTGCGAGAAAGGGTTATGTCAGGTGATATACCTCCTGATCGTCTATGTTCAATGACAGCAGAGGAGCTAGCTTCGAAAGAACTTTCAGAGTGGCGAATTGCGAAAGCAGAAGAGCTTGATCAGATGAAAGTCCTTCCTGATTCTGATGTTAATATGAGGCGCTTGGTGAAGAAAACTCACAAAGGTGAATACCAAGTGGACTTCGACCCTGATAACAGTGCTTCTGAGGAAATTTCACCTGAAATTAGTGCGTCTTCTCAAAAGCGTTCAAAGACCATTGGGTCTGATGCACGCCCTCCTAAAGTTGCACCAACCAAGGTAGAACAGTATGATCAGTGTGAGTTTACTATACCTAATGATGGTGCTGATATGCAAGGACTAATGGTTGATGATATGAAAGATCTTCCTCCTATTGTATCCTTGGATGAATTCATGGAGTCACTTAATAAAGAGCCACCATTTGAGAATTTACCAGTTGATTCTAGGACATCCACCCTTGAGGTGGATAAGGAAACCTCGGAGGTGGGCTTTGAATCCAGGTCGCCCGAAGAGCCTTTGAAACAACCTGTGACGAACTCTCAGAAAACGGAACAAGTTAGAGAGGAAAGCAAACTTACAGAAGCCAATAAGAAATTATCTGACAGTCAGAAGGAATTAGTTAAGAATCCTGTTCATCTTCCCAAGCAAGAAAGTGTTTGGGAGGGACAACTCCAGCTTAATATATCCTCCATGGCCAACTTTGTTGCCTTGTACAAAAGGTTGGCTTCTCATTCTGTTCAGATGTTTTTTTCTTTCTTATTGGTGTCTCAATCTTAGTTGTATTGCATCCAATTCTATTTTTTTCATCCATAATTTGGATGATTGATGATACTCATGATAGTATTATTATTATTATTATTTTTTTTTTTTTATATGAAACCATTTAATAGTGCAACTGTCCTTTTTGGAGATGAATATGGTAAAGATTTTTTAATACTAAATACTTTGCATGGTTCTTTGCACTGATTAATTTGCCAATTCTAAAATGAGCTTTTTAACCAGTAAATGTAGCTATTACAAGTTTTTTGCCTGATTTATGTCCTGCCAAACCATATATTTAAAGGATATGCTACATGGGTTAGTTGCTTTAAGAAACACTGATTATCTCTACATGTCTAGATTCTCTGCTTTATTAAGCCTCTGTTTGAGTTTTGTCACTGCACATCTGTATGGCTGTCCTGCAAGATGGCAGTCATGTGATTACAATTACATCTGAACTGATGTTGTTGGTAGATCCAAGTGTACTTTATGTTTGGTTTCTTTTTGACATCTTGTCTTCCGGGAATGTGCGGTGAGGAGCTTGAACCAACAATGGGGCTGGGAATGAAGCTGCACATACTATGGCTTATCTTAGTCTAATACATTAAACTCAACTAGAATTTGGGTAGAAGGTTGTTCTTTTGTACTTGATGATGTCATTGTCATTGTCTTTTGCTTAGCTAATAATAATAATTAGTTGCCTAAGCTGTTTAACCTACCCCCCGCCCCCCCTCTCCAATGTTCCATCCCATATTTTCCAGTACCTGTTTTTCTCATGAATGTGTGGTTAACGCTGAAAAAATTTCTAAGTTGTGATTTAACTGATCCTAGTTATTCTTATATGGTTGCAGTGGTGAAAAAGCCAATACTAAAGAGTGGGCAGGTTTCTTTGACATCAAGGGTCGGGTTAGGCTTGATGCATTTGATAAGTTCTTGCAAGCGCTTCCGATGTCCAGGAGCCGGGCAATTATGGTATATTCCAAGCTCTTTTTCTTAGGCAACTTTGCCTTTTTTTTGCTTGACATGTCTTTTAATATCTGTATATTAAGTTTTCTTTCACTGCAAAAGCAAGATAAACAGAAATGTGTTTATCAAAATAAAAGCAGAGCGTGTATTAGGCTTGTAGCAAATTCTTTAGGGATTTGCTCCTGCTCTTAGATTGCCGAGGTTTAATGCTGTTTGCTAGAGATGCCTGGTTAAGTTTATTATACTTGCGCTGATTTCATGCTGTCTCATTATTCCTTCGTTTGACCTGAGTCTTTAGGTCTTTGGCTTCAAAGAAACAGTTTTTTTGTCATGAGCTTTTGCTCAAAATTATGTGGTGTATAGGCATTTCTCTTTCAGAAAAGTTGATTCCAGATAGTTTCAATGTCTTGTATGCCTGACTAAGACAATTGCTTCTAGAAGTAGATGTTTGTGTGACCTTTCTGTTAAAACCACCAACTTTCCAGCCCCCTTTATTAATTATATATTCCTTATTTATTTGGAGGGCTTTGTTTTTTTTTTTGGTGGTGTGTGGGGGGGGGGGGGGGGGGGGGTGGGCGTCAATATCAACTCTTGTAGACAGCTCTCCAAAGGCTTATGTTGAAATAACTGAAACTGCACTTTTGTAATCTTTGGTGTTGTTTACCCAAATATAACCTGTGCTGTATAATCTGTCAAAAACTGTTTGATGGTAATAATGTCATGTTTTCTTTTTATTTGCTAGGTGTCGCATTTTGTATTTAAGGAAGGTGCTATGGATAGTGAACGCTCCGATCTTGTTGAGGTACTAATATTTTCTGCCATCCTTTTGACTCCCAGCATTTTCTTAACTCAGGCTGTGGGTCTCCTTTGCTAATTGCCACTCCCTCCCTCTTCTCTTAGGATAGTTTGTCCAACAAGGCCATAACAACTTTAATTTTATATACTCACCTACTCTGTATTTCTTGCAGTTGGTTGATTCTTACATAGCGGATGAGCGATTGGGATTTGCAGAGCCTGCTCCAGGAGTGGAGCTCTACCTGTGTCCCCCACGCACAAAAACAGTTGATATGATAATCAATCATCTTCCTAAGAGTTACACTGAAAAATTAAATGATGTCGATGATGGCCTAATTGGAATTGTTGTATGGCGAAAAGTTCAAATAACACCACCTGTGATTTCACCGAACTCCTTGTCTCATCAGAAACAAATGACTAAAAATCACACTGGAGGCCAAAATGCTGTAAATGATGATAGGAACAGGACTAATGTTGGTTTTGCCCCTAGAAGTGCCCCCTCTCTCCTTATTCTCTCTAAACCCCCCCAACCCGATGAAGATGATGATGATGTGCCTCCTGGATTTGGCCCTCCTGGTCACCGGGAGGATGATGATTTACCAGAGTTTAACTTCTCTAAGGGGCCTAACCTGCCCTCACCACACCCTAAACCGAATGCTGTCCCAAGTCATGGGACAGTTTCTCGGCATCATAATCTTCTTCGGGCCCCGGCTCGGCAGGTTGACCAAATGAGAGAATTGATTCAGAAATATGGACAAAATGGTACGAGTAGTGGTAGTGGTGGTGGAATACCCACAGAACCCTGGAATGATGATGACGATGATATACCTGAATGGCAACCACAAGCATCTCACCCAGTACCACTAGTACCAGCACCCCAACCTATCCAAAATCCTGCATTGGCCCCACATATGGCACATTATCAGACATTTCAGCGGCCGCCTTGGCCTCCAGTTGTACAGCCTATCCAACCTCTTCAGCCACCTATGAGTGTGCAGCAGCAGGGAGCATGGTGGCCTTACGGTGCTAACAATATAGGAAGCTTACCTAGTGGACAGTTTAATGGGGCGCCTGGTTCTGGTCACCTAGCCAGGGATTGGAGAACCAATAATGGTTCTAATAACAAGGGTTTTTGAGTTTTATTTCGACTTGTAAATAATAAGGTTTTATTTTCTTTTTGTACTAGTTTTAGAAGTCTTGCACGTCTATAGACTTAGACGTAAATGTAGACATAGGTTCATCTTTGTATGTCCTGTTAGTGGGTTGTACAACTAAGGTTTTATTTTTTTTCATGTACTTTTAGCTTTCTTTCGGAGCTAGACGCTACTTGATCTACAAGAGCCATAAGGAACAAAATAGCCACATTAAATGAATACTCCCTCTGTTCCCTTTTGTACCGATATTATTGACAAATTTGACATAAATTGGCTCTAGTTTAGTGGTTAATCTATTTTAGTACCATTTTGAAGGATAAATTATGATCTTTATGAAATATACGATTATCTATTATTTCGTAGTAATAGGGCCATTATAAATTTTGAAAACCAACCTGCAAAAGCTAACGAACGTCTCGGGGGCGTTGGATAAGCTAGCTAAAAGTAGAAATATTAAATTAAAAAGAACATTAATTACGTCGATCGACGCGTGATTTTGTCATGCTTTCCCAAATTAATACCATTTTAGGCAGTATTCTAAATGCTTATCCAACACCCCAGGGACGTTCGTTAGCAAGATCCTTTATATATTAGCCTTTCTCGTTAGAATCATTACTCAAAAATATAAACCTTGTGAATTTGAATCTCTTTTTGATTACATGATTTATTTAGGTTAATATTTGAGCTGTACTTGAAATTATTAATTTTTTTTAAAAATAACTCAATTGGAACCAATTGATTCATCACCAAAATATGACATGAACAAATCAAACCCAATCTGTACAACTCATGCATCACTTCTACATGTATGCAAGTGCTTTTAGAAGTTCATTATATCTGTAAAATGCGTTAAACCTTTTCTTTTAAAAATCACTATGTTAAAACAGTGGTAATCACTTTCTTCAATTTGTCTTTTACAACCCTTGTTTCCAAGAGTAAAGCAAATGTCCTAGTTTGGTGTTGTTTTGTTGCTCATAATAGTAGTTGCATTGGCTTTGTATCAAAACTATATGCTAATATTACGCGCGTATTCTCTATGATTAATCTCGTTGATAAAAATGCAACAAGAAAATGGTCATGAATAATGTATTACGGTTTTAAGGGCCATAAAATGATACATGAATAATGGATTACGGTTTTGAATGTTTTTTTTTAGAGTTTTAGGGTTTATATTGATTTTGGCTCTGTTACCATGTCAAATTAGAGGAGATAATTAGAGATAAAGATTTTTTGTGTCTTATATTAGAGAGGATAATAATATATTTATACAACCTAAGGGTAAAGATCAGGGCTTAACATCAGCCCATTAGCTATACATGATACAAGGTTTACAAATAACAAGGTAATTGTGTTCAAACAAGCATTGGGTGAAATTGGCAAATTATCATTAGGCTAATAATTTACCCTTTTAAATACAGGGGTAGCTACTTAAACATGAAAAAACCACATACTTCGTATTTATGAAATTAGATGCAAATATGCAATAAATTGGAAAAACAACACTATATATACATATATAATTTGAGTTATTATGATGCAATATTGGTTCTACTTTCAACTAACATAGCTCCTAGAATGTAGATTCTACAAAATTTCTCCCTTGGTTTCCTTGAAAAATCGATAGCCATGAAGAGATGGGTAAAAAATAGACAGTATGAGTAGTAGAACTTTCAGATTACAGAAAAGGTGTGATTTATAAAGATGTTACAAAATTATACAACAAGATTGATCATTAGTTGTTAAAAGCGCGTTTTAAGGCCTTTTTCTGTTCTGAAGTCAATTTAGTAGGGAACTTGATCTCAAACTTGATTCTCATATCACCTACATTTTTAGGATCTTTCGGTATAGGCATCCCTTCCTTAGAAATTACGAGCTCATAGTCCGGCGTGATCATGTCTTTAACTGGTATGGAGAGGTTACGACCATCTAATGTAGTAATCTTCACCATAGTCCCTCCAATGGCCTCTGCCAAAGTCACCTTCTGAGTCATGATCAAATCGTTGTTGTCTCTAATGTACACGTCGTGTGGTTTCTCATCGATGACAAAAACTAGATCTGCTGGAAGCTGGTTTGGCTTTTCATTTCCCTTATCAGGAAATGTGATCTTTGTCCCCTTTTTCCAACCAGGCTTTACTTCGATTGTCAGTATTTCTGTTTCGGGTACTTGACCTCTGATTTTGGTTCCAACAGACAAATGAATATGTTAGTATAAAAATCAGTTTTAATCAATAACGATCTCTTTAATTCATAACCATTAGTTGAAGAGAACAAGACCTAAAGTAATATACTCGAAAACATATGGAATGGTAAGAGACTATAGTAAAAAAAAAGTCAAATGCATATCGAAAATAGATATTGAATCTTGCAAACTAATAGCATGTATAACTGTTATAAGTTGTAATTATAGGCAGATTTCTCTAGGAAAGGCATATCACTCGAAAACAAGGCAAACAAAAAAGAATCAACTACTTGTTAAACTCTGCCTATATAACTTTTTAGTCGCAACAGTCTAATTACTGTTGTCGTAACTAAAAGTGAACGGAGGAAGTATATAACAACAACGCAAGTAAAAGTTGCACAAAATGGGAAATGTACCATACCCATTAGCGTCGATTACTGTCCTAGAGATCTTCATCTTTCGGGTTGATCCGGTATACAACTCTTCTAGGGTGCAGGGCAGCTTATTTTCAATAGGAGGCGGTTTCTTAGGCAACACAGTTGTTGTACCGCCTTCACTATATGTTCGATGCATATTCTCAGTCCCACTAAATGCTCCACCTTCACCATATGAATATCTTTTTCTGGCTCTTCCACCAGTACTTGGTGATGATCCAAACTCGAAAGGACTTGTACCGAAAAATTCAGCAAAAATATCCTCTGCACTTCTAGGATTGAACCCAGTTTTGCTGCTTCCGTAGGGAGATCCACCCCCAGAGCCCGGGGGTGGCATGTCCTTTAGCCCTTCTTCGCCGTGTTGGTCATAGAATTGTCGCTTTTGTTCATCACTCAGAACCTGAAACAACCTAGTGTTATTCCTCTAAAGATAACCATGTATACAAAACACAATGTTCGTAGAAGAATATTAAGTGAGATCTTGTTAGATTCGTCTCAAGGTTACAGACGTACCTTTAAAATCATAAAAAAACAAAAGGGTAAAACTTAAAAGAACTCAATTTGATCTCCACAATTACTTACACAAGAATTCTTCATAAATGCAAATACATAAATGTTGAACAATGTTTTCATAATCAAGATCAAATATTTCTTTAATACCTTAAATTATATTTGCATAATTACCTAACTTAAATCAAAATTTTTACCTAAGGACCCAATTTCCAATCATAAAAAGGGTTAATAAAAAAAATTAAGGATTAAATTACAAAAATTAATTACCTCATAAGCTTCAGAAATTTGCTTGAATTTGGCCTCAGCTTCTTTCTTATTAATGGGATTTTTATCAGGATGCCATTTCATTGCCAATTTTCGGTATGCCTTTTTTAAATCATCATCTGTTGCATTTTTATCAACCTGTAACACATTGTAATAATCCACCCCCATTTTAATTAGTTCTTTTCCTCATAAAAACCAAGAAATATTTCAATTTTCTGCACAAATTTTAAACTTTGAATAAATCCTGTATTCAAAGTTTTAATCTTTTTGAAGAGTAAATTACAAAAATAAGTAACAGGAACTTTAAAATTTCAGGGAAATTACAGGAGGAAATAGTAGAAGGAAAATTTAGCATGTTTTTAATTTTTTTTCATAATTTTAATGTCATGAGGAAGATGATGATGCACAATTTTCGGGAAAATATTTAAAAATTAGGTAGTTATGCCAGGTCATCGTGTAACAACTAACTTGAACGCCACTACCACAAAACTTTCATATGATGTCAGCATATCACCTTTTTTTTTTTTTTTTTTTTTTTTTTAAGGAAAAGTTAGTGCTTAATTAAATTAAAATAGCATCCGCAAATACATACGGGGAAATCTCGCTAGGGGCGTGATTTTCTCAACATTGTTCATCACCGAACGGCACTAACTTAGCTAAGTGATGGGCTACATAATTCCCATCCCTTTTGACATGAGACCAATTGAGAAAAGTAAAACAACTACTAATAGAAACCAAATCAACTAACACACTGTCAACTAAACTCAAAGAGAACTAGTTCTTTTGCATTCTGGTCACTAGAATCTGGGAGTCCGATTCGATGATCACACTATCAAGACCATATTCTTTTGCCTTCTTAACACCAAAGATCGCAGCTCTACATTCAGCAATCAAGGGGTCCCAATGAGCCTTAACCCGACGCACTGCAGCAAATAGGACCTTCCCCTCACTGTTCCTAGCCACAGCCCCCATTCCAATCCATCCTTCTTCACTGACCGAAGCATCCACATTGATTTTTACAACATCAGCAGGAGGTGGCGACCACACAACTCGTCCAGCTTGCTCGGGGCTCTTGCGTGACCCATATATTTTCTCAGAATACAGACCAAAATCAAACACCATTTTACTCAATCTGTTGAGTATCAAGTCCTCAGGCTCGCTTTCCTGATCAAACACCCAATTGTTTTGTCTGTACCAGATGAACCACGCTAGAAAAAGGGAGCGTTGATAAATATCTTCACTCAACTCCTTTGCCCAAAACGTCAAGATTTCAGCAAATAAAACTCTCAATTTCACCATAGCAAAGAGCAGCTGCACAACCACTCCGAACCCAGAGCTGGGCAGAGGAGGGGCAAGCAATGATGGCATGAGTGACTGACTCGTTTGTACCACACCATGGACAACGAGGGTCAGCCGTTAAGTGCCGATAAGCAAGGGTCCCTTTTGTAGGGAGAGAGTCCGAACAGCATTTCCATATATAGGAAATGTCTGACTTTCGGTGTAACCTTGGCTTTCCAAATTTCGAGCCAACAATAATCAAAGGAATCGGTGCTGTATGATTTACCCAAGTGATAGGCAGAGCTGACCTCATAAGAACCGTGCTTCGACCAAGACCATATCAATGAATCCTCAGGTAAGCGCTCGCTAATAGGGATAGCCAACACCACCTCTTTGTCACTGTCATTAAAGACACGGTCTCTCTTGTCCAAATCCCAACATTTATCACGCTCATTAATCAAATCAGCTACAAATTGAATATCCTCATCTGGTAATCTATCACTCGAAACAAATCGATTCCCATCCTTTAGTATCCAAGGGTCATCCTAAATCTTGATGCTTTTCCCATTTCCAACTCTCCAAGCTACACCATCCAAGACAAGAGCTTTAGACGCCCAAATACTACGCCATGAGTAGCTCGAATTTGGGCCAAGAGCTGACTCAAAAATCGTAGTATGCGGATAGTATTTTGCTTTGAACACCCTGCCAAATAACGAGGATTCATTTTGCGCCAATCTCCAAATTTGCTTCCCAAGTAAGGCATCATAAAAGACCCCTAAATCTCGGAAACCCATACCCCCTAAGAATTAGGGTGGCAAAGAAAATCCCAACTCTTCCAATGCATTTTCTTTTCTTTCAAATTTGATCCCCACCAAAAGCGGGCCATCATAGAGTGGATTTCATGGATGAGAGAGATAGGAAATTTGTAAGCTCCCATTATGTAAGTCGGAATTGCTTGGATGACCGATTTCAACAAAACCTCCTTGTCGGCTCTTGAAAGAAGCTTTTCCTTCCACCCTTGAATTTTCTTCCATATACGATCTTTGACAAAGGCAAAAACTGCTTTTTTATATCTACCCACCTCCGTAGGTAGACCTAAGTATTTGGTGTGACCTTCAACCATTTCCATCCCAAGAATAGAGCTAAAGGAGACCCTTGACGGAAGCGATACACCTTTACTAAAAGAGACCTCCGACTTTTCAAGATTAATTTTTTGCCCGGAAGTTGCTTCATATTTGTTAAGAATATTAACAATGATTGAACATTCCTGTCGGGTGGCTCTAGTAAAGAGAAGACTATCATCTGCAAAGAAAAGATGAGTAATCTTAGGGTCGTTTCTGCTAGCCTTTACTCCATGAATCTCCTTTCTCTCCGAAGCCAAATGTAGCATTATAGAAAGAACATCTATCCGCAACCAAGATGAACAGGTATGGGGAGATCGGATCTCCTTGACGCAGCCCCCTTGAAGGAATAATAGTATCTGACGGCTCCTCATTTATTAAGAAAGAATATTGAACAGTAGACACAAATGCCATTACCGTATCGACCCAAGCACCTGCAAACCCCAACTTAGTCATAAGCCGGCGAAGGAACTCCCACTCAACCCTGTCATAGGCCTTGCTCATATCAAGCTTCATAGAGATCGTGCCCCTCCTCCCCTTTGACTTCTTCTTCATAGAATGGAACAATTCAAGAGCAATTAGGGCGTTGTCCGTCATCAACCTCTTCGGAACGAAAGCACTCTGGTTCTCAGTGACAATATTTTGAAGAAGGGGTTTTAATCTGTTCGCCATAGCCTTGGAGGCCAACTTATAAAGCACATTGCAAAGGAAGATAGGTCTGAATTGAGAGACACATGTAGGATCTTTGACCTTGGGAATAAGGGCCACATTCGTACGATTAATCACACTCGGGGAAATTCTACCAGAAATAATGCCATTAATAAAATTTGTAACATCATCACCAACAATGTGCCAATATTTCTGATAAAAAATAGCATGAAATCCATCTGGCCCCGGAGCCTTACATGGACTCATTTGAGACAAAGCAGTATAAATTTCATCTTTTGGGAAAGACCGACAAAGAGAATTGTTCATACCTTCTGAAATCAAGCACGGGACACTCTCCAATACTTCAGTCATCAAAGCCTCATCGATTTGCCCAGCCGTGAAGAGAGTATCAAAAAAATTTCGAACAATGTTCTCAATTTCTGATTTCCCAGATTTGTAAACCCCATTCTCATCATTGAGCCCGCAGATGTAGTTTTTCCTCTTTCTTTGAGAAACTTTATGATGAAAATACTTCGTATTTCGGTCCCCATCTTTGATTTCAGCAACCCTCGCACGAAGATACCAATAAGCCTCATTCTTCTCATGCAAATTATTAAGAATAGCCTCAAGACGGGAACACTCTGAGAAATTCGGATAAGGACCGCTATTATTCCGAGCTTGTTTCAAAGCATCATCAGCATCCGAAATCTTTTTGCCCAGGTTCTCAAATTCTCGTTTACTCCACCTGGATAAATCATTCGCAACAAGAGCGATTTTTTGAGGCAATTCAACGAGAGCAGACCCCTCCCATGCATTCTTTATCACTTCTTCAATTCCTTCATTGAGTAACCAACATGACTCGAACCTAAAGGCTTTCTTCTTACGGTGTGCTTTCTTCTTTGTACTACCTTCATTGTCAAGACAAATTGCCACATGATCGGATTTATACTTGGTAAGATGCTTCACTGACGCTTGATTGAACCAAGACACCCACCTTGAGCAAGCCACAAATCTATCAAGACGTTCACGCACAATAGTTTCCTTTGTCAACCCTCTTTCCCAAGTAACCCAATCTCCATCATGACCAAGATCTCTAAGACTACAATCATCAAGAGCATTTCGAAAACCGTCCATTGCTCTTTGTTCACGAGGCACACCCCCACTCTTCTCTGCAGAACTGAGGATTTCATTGAAATCACCTCCCAAAAGTACGGGAACCGGGGAGTCTAGATAGAGCTCCCTAATAAGAGTCCAAGTGTTCTCTTTCAAGGCCTTATCCGCCCATCCATACATGCCAATGAACCGCCACTTTCGACCCCCATCACCACAAATTTGGTGATCTGAGTATGAGACTAAAGAGAAATCAACACCGTCCCTCCAATAGATGCACAAGCCTCCAGCTTTTCCCCTGCTATCAACACCTTTCGCATTTACAAAGCCTAATTTATTTTTAAAATTTTCAGTCCGTCTGCTGTCAATCATGGTTTCATGTCAGCATATCACCTTAAATAAATTAGTATATCCTCTCATAATCACTTGCCCCTCTATTGTGTGTGTTACCTCGCTTTTATATTTTTATTAATCGTCGCATGCATATTAGTACTCCCAAACTCTATCGCCAAAAGACGAGAATGCCCCTTGATTGGGATTCAGACGCTCATTTGTATTGTTTTGTGCTCAAAAGCCCGTTCCGCAAGTTTGCGCTTTTGTCATCAAAAGACAAGGTAGCGCCACACGATCTAGTGTCAAAACACTTGGATTGCGAGTGTGATTGTCTTACTAAGAAAGTCCCATATTCTTCTTAGATTTTCAATTAAATTTATAATATTTTATTTTAACCGAGTAATGTATTTTTTTCCCTCAACAACACATGTTATTTTAAAACAAACAAATCCACATGCTAATAAATGAGCTATGTAGTAACTTCTATAAAAAGTACCCCGTAAATAAATGTATGAAACACTTTTATTGAAAAGTCTCAAATGTAAAAAGTAGCGAATAAATGAATTCAAATATCTCACAATTCACATAAATATTGTGTCACACATTTTTGCCTTGAAGTTGAACTTATAAGTTCCATCTAGTTCAGGGGAAAACAGGTGGTTCAAACTTCGGAAATGCATTATTTAATTTCTTAATTCTTCTTTTATGATAAGGTACTTTGATATTGAGAAAAAAATTGTCATAACCTATGATAAATAGATAGTTAAAGTGTAGCGTGTCAAAAATCAAAACATGTACTTATCGAATTAGCGAGAGTATAAATGGGCATAAATTTATTGTTTATTAATAAATTATAGATTTTTATTGTTTAAAATGGCTAATTGGCAACGATATGTAATGGGCTTTGATATATTTTGCCGGATCATGAATTCATTAATCCATTTGGATTTTGGGCTTTATATCATTTTTTTTCATATTTTTTTTTTTTGTAATTAGTGACTAGGCAGAAGAGAAGTTGATGGGTGCAAATTGGCGGGCTATGCACCACTCAAACACAGGAGCCGATATCTTGTTTAGCCAATAAGCTTGTGCCACTTACATTTATCTAGATTTTCCTCATTTCATATTAACATCTTAATTAGTTTCTCTTTTTTTTTTTTTTTTTTGAAGAAAACATCTTAATTAATTTCTAAGTAACCTTTTTATTTATTTTATTTTATTTACTTTTTTACCACTTAGCTCTAAATCCTCTAATTATATTTGTCAATTCTATTGTTTCTTGATCATGTTACTAAAATCTAAAATAATATGGAGTAATTGTTTATATAAGGAATTAGTTACTCTCTTTGTTCTTTCAATTATTTTACTTTTCGTACGTGTATATATATATATATATATATATATATATATTTTTAAAGCTTTATCTTTCTACTAGTGTAATAAATCGATTCAAACATTATAAAATTTTATAGTTAATAATCAAAACAATACGTAATATATACTTCGTAGACGATATCAATGGGGCATTAATTGCTTGATATAACATATACATGTTTTCTTGCTACGCTCTTTCATGATTTCACAATATTGCAATTGTCGTAATTAGTGGATATACTATAGCTAAGTTGCTAGGGCATCTTTAATGCCGTGGCATTAACACATACTTGTTTTAACTATAGTTCTTTGCTATATAGTACACAGAGTTTAAAATTTTCATTTAAATCGCGAATAACACTATTGCATAGGGCAAATTAGAGAAGTAGTGTGCCAAAAACCATCAATCTAATTCATGTTACAGTTGGGACATTAATTTCTCTTTTTTGCCCTATCGATATCAAAATCCTTAACCCAAGGTAAATTATAAAAGAGATAAGTTTCAAACTATCTTAACCGCATCCATGAAGTAATTACTATAATTTTCTCAGACACTTTAAAATTACTTTAAAATTAAAAATAAAACAACATTTTCCATTCCAGTCGCACACTAGAAGGTACATTTGTGTATTAAGTTGATAAACTCATTTTATCCCCCACACAAACCTTTGATACCCCATAAACGTGGACAACCTCAACCACAGAAAATAAAGAGAAAATACAACAAAAAACACACATAAAATAATCTCAATCTTCTTCTTATGCTCAATAAACCGTTATCAAACCATTACTCTTACATACACTCTCTCTCTTCTATCTCTAAACTGTGGACACACTGTGATTGAATTTTGTTAAGCTTCCAATTAACTGAATCTTGATACACTCTCAAATACAAGGTAAAAGTTTAAGTGATCATATGATAATTTATTTACCCTTTTAAATTTGTTGTTTTTTTGTTATTTTTTTGCTGGTTACAATTTAATGTTTATTGGTTTTTCAATTGCAATATGTATATTTGATTTGTTGGTTGATTTTGAAGTACCCATTAAAGAAAAATTGAAAATTTGCTGCATTAATTCGAATTTGGTTTATTGGAAATTCTGGGTTGATTCTGAAATGTGTTGTTTAAATTCTTGATGGGTGTTTAATAGTTTTGGTAGTTTTCAGAAGTATTTGTTTAAGTTATATTCTTGCATAATTTTATTTGAATAGAGCCTAAAGTTGTTTCTTTGTTTATTAATCCAATTTGATGTCAAAAATCCACTCTAGGATGAGTAAAATTCACCTGAAAGTAGAAGACTATTAACTCGAAATGAAAAAAAAAGTTACTAAACCCAAAAACCCCGAAAATTTTCGAGTTAGGATCAAGGTTGAATTGGCCAAATCTGTTGTAAACATATGGATTGATCATTAGAAATTGATTGTGGGAAAATAAAATTATGAAATTTGCTGCTGATTCTGTTCCAATTCAAGAAAGTGTAATTAACCTTATAGGCATTACAAGAATACAAGGTACTACACTATTACAGGCAGAAAAATCTACTAGTTAATTAACTTTCAAGTGTAGGAGTCATAATTTGGGAGAAAACAATTTGTATGATTGAGGAAGCAGTATTGTTGATGGGATTAGTGCTAAGTTTTCATGTTTTTTTTTAAAAGGATAGTTAAACTGTGTTCTTTCAGATTTGCACTCTACCTGAATTGGTTATATTGGCTGTGATTTTGTCTATGCATTGCGGTTGTGATTGTGGTGTTGTTGCTGCATGTTGTACTATTCTATTCTGTATCACTCTCTACCCCTCCCCACATTAGAAAGTAAAAAGTGGAGGAATAATAAATATGAAGAGAAGGCTAACGAAGAGACCTGGGGCACATTGTAGGGGAAATCCCTTGGAACAAAGTGATTCACTTGAGCTTTTGAGTTGTGCAGTCCATGTTCTGATGGTGTTGCATGTTCAGGCTTAAGATGGCCACGGCTGCTGTCGTTGGGCTTAGTGCTGGCAAAGGGCTTTTGAGCTCCTCTTTCTATTATTCTGATCTCACCGAAAGGCTCTCTTATACTACTGGGGAACCGCATCAGATTTCTTCCTCAAAGAATGTGATTGTTGCAAAAGCTAATTTTAATCACCGAGGATCATCAGTCAAGGCTCTTAAAGAATGTGTAGATGGTGCTACAATTCCTCCAATTACCGAACCATGGATTTCAAGATCTTCTCCTGTAGAAGAGGAGACTTTGGATCCTGAAACTCCACTGGAAGCTCTCCTTTTGCTTCAAAAGTCTATGCTTGAAAAGCAGTTGGAGTTATCCTTTGAACGCACTGGTATGAATGATGTGCTTAGGGAGAATAATTCTAAGGAATCACGTGTCACATCATCAGGAACCCCAGCTCGAGTACGAAGGATAAATGCTAGGAAGAGAAGTCAGGGAAAGAAGATATCCACAAAAGAAAGCAAGAAAGAGAAGCCTCTAGTGACTACTGTAAGCCCTGAGCTTCTCCAAAATCGTTCGATAGGGTATGTGAGAGGTATGACAAATGATGTATTGCTGACTCATTCCCAAGTTGTGAATTTATCTCGAAAGATTGAAGCTGGTCGATCCTTGGAGGAGCATAAAGCAAGGTAGCTAATGTTTCTACCACTAGTTGTACGATTTTTTATGGACTATAGTTTTACAAACTATTCACAATATATTTCTTGAGATGGCTAAATACATTGCTCATTGTTCCAACTCACATTTAGCTAGGCTGGAAAAAGCTTGGCATTTCCTTTTGAAGTGTACTGTTTGTAACTATTATTTCTTGAATGTTGTTCATGTCTCAGTTTGAGATAAATATAAATGTCAATGAATGTTATGATAAAAAATTGTATCCTTAGTTATTTTCAGAACAGTCTATATTAGCAATTAGCTAGGGGGTCATTGTTGCTGCTTGCAACAGTAGTTTTTTCATGTCATCTATGCTGCAACTTTTCCACTGAATTTTGAAATTTATATGGTAATCTTTCAACTGTCTTTCAGATTGAAAGAGAAACTAGGGTGTGAACCTTCTGATGAGCAACTTGCGAATTCCTTAAGGATGAACCGTGCTGAAGTAAGATCCAAACTAATTGAGTGTTCGCTGGCCAGAGAAAAATTGGCTATGAGCAATGTACGCTTGGTCATGTCAATTGCTCAAAAGTATGAGAACATGGGTGCTGACATGGCTGACCTTGTACAGGTGAGTTTCTCTCATGAACTTAGATCAGGATTTTGTCTTATCTAATGCTTCATTTAGTACATCATCGGCAGTCATTTGATATTGATCAAAAATTCAATTTAGGGTGGATTGATTGGACTACTCCGTGGAATTGAGAAGTTTGATCCCTCCAAAGGGTTCAAAATTTCAACATATGTTTACTGGTGGATACGTCAAGTAAGTGGATTACTCATGTTAGTTGCTATGTAGTTCTCCAACCCTTATTATGCTGTTCTTCGGAGAATAAGATAATCTGTTTTTTGTGATGGAAGTTGATGGAGGATAATTTAGTACACGTGTTGATTTTTCCTGTTTATCCTGGAATACATATATCTATTTAACTACTTGTACAGAAGTAATACAGAATTCTGATGAATTCAATTGTATATTATACACTTGAATACCTCTATAATCACTTTAATACCGACTTCAAGATATAGTTAATCAAAGAAGCTGTACTATCTATCTTTCATTTCTTCTGCAGGATTTACTGGCTATGTTTATATTCGCCTCTTGGTTTAACTCTAAGGTTTGACTTCTTTTTCAGGGTGTTTCCAGAGCACTGGTGGAAAATTCAAGAACTTTGAGGTTACCTACTCATCTCCATGAAAGACTAAGCTTAATTCGCAGTGCAAAAAATAAACTTGAAGAGAAAGGGATAGAACCATCAATTGATGTAAGTTCTTCTCCTTTTATGTGATGAAGAATGTTTGGAATATTTTTTGTAGTTTCGGTATATATCAGCACTTGTTCCCAGGATACTTCTGTTTATAATTAGAAGAATACAACTTGAAAAGAATCCCTTATGTTTACTAATTTTAACTAGTAACCATTTTAAACTCATTTTTTTGCAAAGAACACTTGTTACTCATTGAGTTTTTATTTTCTGTTATACATTGTGCTAACTTTCTGAACTTTTTGCAGAGAATTGCCGAATCTTTAAACTTAACTCATAAAAAAGTTCAGAATGCTACAGAGGTTAGTAAAAATCGGTTTGCTGTGATTAAAAAGTTCAGAATGTAATGTGGTATTTTTCTTGTCCTTGTTCTTATTGTTACTTATAAATTTATAATTGGCGCAGGCTGTCAGATCTGTCTTGTCACTGGACAGGGAAGCCTTCCCTTCTTTGAATGGACTCCCAGGAGAGACTTATCATAGTGTAAGTATATTCAGATAAACGATGCAGTCATTCTCTTTGTTTAGACCACAATATATTCAATTGATTTTTTCCCCCAATAAACCGAATTTTATTTAAATCTGAATTTTCACTTATTCACTAGTGTTTTTGTTAGCTGTTAGTCTTGTTACATATAATTACTCATTGTCACACATGAAAATTGATTTTTACCAATTAAGACTGCTTTTATTTTTTTTATTGAATATTAAAATTTAGTTGAAGAGTTTGATCCTTAGAGAAGTCAGTTTTTACTTTTTCTTGATTGATATATTGCAGTCATCTTAACAAATTGTTTTCCTTGGCTGTCAGTATATTGCGGATAATCGTCTCGAGAATAACCCGTGGCACGGTGTAGATGAATGGACACTCAAGGTATTGACATCAAATCTGACAATGTGTGTTGTTTCTGAAAGACCTATTTGTCCTTCTTATGTTTACAATAGTCTTAATGGCATCACCTCTAATTGATCAATCCTAAACTTTGGGTTTGACTTACTAGCTTTCCTAATTTCCTTTGTTCTAACTCATCATTTCATCTACTTAAAAAAGAAATGATAAAGGCAAAGGATAACTGTGGCTTGGTTAACTAAATTTGAGAATGAAGAGCAAATGCTTAACACTTATTTACATTTTGAACAGTTTATTTGACCTGTTCATCAATGAGAATTCTTCCAGTTTATTTACATTTTGAACAGTTTATTTGATGGAATGATGGTAATCACTAATCAGGAGTTCAGAAAGCTATCTAAAACAATCTGTAGTTAACAAAATGACTTCTAAAATCTATTCATAAGATCATTGAGATGTATACTTCCATTTTTCATAGTTATTAACAAAATGACTTCTCTTCTTTTCAGCAAGACGTAAGCAATCTTATAGACACCACACTCAGGCAACGAGAGAAAGCTATAATACGTCTTTATTATGGCCTGGATGAAAAATCTCTGACTTGGGAAGAAATTAGCAAAAGGTGAGGTGGAATATGTTAACTCTCCCTCCTCGATTCAGAGTTTTAGGCTTTGTATTCTTCAATCTTTGTGTCTCTCTTATGTTAACTATCAACTGGGTCGGAGGGAGTATGTTATTTAGGCTCAATCCCAACTTCTATATCTCATCTATTTTCTCAATTCCATACGTAACTTGATTTCAATTGCTAATTTACTTGGCATATGTTCTGTTTCAGGATTGGTTTGTCAAGAGAAAGAGTCCGGCAGGTTGGATTAGTCGCGTTGGAGAAACTAAAACTTGCTGCAAGAAAGAGAAGGATGGATGCCTTGTTGGTGAAACACTAGTATGGCATACGATTTGTAGTCTATTGTAGATCTTATTGACTGTATATATATGAAGTATATAACAGAAATGAACATCACATTCACTTCTTACAGTAAGTTGAAGTTTTTCGTCAGGGGAGGCCTACACTTGAACACTTCCTATTCTCAAGACAATTTATCCACTGTTTCTGAGATTCAACAAGATTGTTGTATAATGTATAGTTGTATGTAAGGGGGTCACTGCACAACTACTTATGCCTTCTGTATCAATACAAGATCTTTTTTCCTGATACAATAGAAGCATATTATATACTTGTATGTTTTTCTTAATACATCTGTATGATTATATACATTCTGTACTTTTCTTATCTTGATACAAAGATGGTTGGATACTTGTATGTTTTTGCATCTGCATTTGCTATTTTGTAAGATTGGGATGATTTCTTACACATTAATTTCTTTAAAGCTTCGAGTTTCAATTATTGATGTCATGCAATACGTTAGTGTGAAACAGTCTCATCTAGGTCCGCTCATAAATTAGCCTGAGAAGGTCTTCACCAAGACTTTCCGTTTAACTGTTGTAGTTTGATCCTTGGTACATACACTAATTTTTTTTTATATAGGGAAAAATCGCAAAATTTTAAAAACAATTACATAAAAATTAAAAACGGCCCGATTACATGAACATTTAACACGATAGTTGGCTAGGCAACGTAATAACATTACTACATTACATATCAAGCTTTTTATTTGTAACGAACGTACACTTGAAAGCTAGTTAAAGTTTTTAGTCCTGTGGCTTGGCTTCATCTTGAGGATCAACAGCATCCTAGCTTAGACAGGATGAGGGCAGCACCTTTGGCAGACACCGTTGTAGGCACGACGACCGCAGCAACCATATCGGCAGCTGTCACGGCGACCAGGATATCCTCCTCCACCACCATGGCCAGGGTATCCTCCACCGCCGTGGCCAGGGTATCCTCCACCGCCCTGGCCAGGGTATCCACCTCGGCCAGGGTAACCGTATTTGGCATCTTCTATGCCGTTGGCCTTGTTGTGAGCTACAGGACCATTTTTAAAGCATCAACATAAAGTTACAAAAAAGATTTAATTGTCACGTTACTAATTCACAAATAAACAAAGCCCAATGCATAAGAAAAAGGAATATATTTTGAATATAATAACCGCTTAATTTAAGATATTTGTGTGAAAAATATCACAATATGTCAAGATTTAGTTGTCACGTTACTAGTTCAAATTACACTATCAACGTGACTATATTATTAAAAACTGACAGATTGAATAGACGAGCATGTAAACAAAATACATAAAAACTCACCAGCTTTGTTAGAGTCCACAGCCATCTCTCGGGCTGCTTCCCCAGCATAAGCAATCGCGAAAACAACAGCCACAATGCATAGCACAAGTAAAGTTTTCGAAGCCATACTTAACTCTTAGCTCGATCTCGATCTCTATCTCTAAAACAATGAAGGGTGTATATGAAGAAGAGATTGTTGTGGATGCAAATATATGAAGCTACTTTTGGTTCCTTTTATAGGCAAATATGCATGGGGTGGGAAAGACAGGAAATCGGGAGTCATATGAGCAAGGAATGGGATGTCTGAATAATACAGTTGGTTATTTAAATGTGATGAAAGTTAGGACAATAATTTATTTTTGTCAGTAACAATAGGGGATAAATTAAATTATCTATACAAGCATTGTATAATACTAATGGACGTTGTTATGATATATTGTTATGTTATACGTTATCCAATTATCTCGTTACAAGAATTAAACACGTGACCTTTGATATGAAAAGTAAGATCTTAATCGTCAATCTTATACAAATCTTGTGTTTTTATACTTCAAACAAAAGATATTTAAGCTTTATGCTTTGTACTCCGTACTCGCGTAATTAATTGATTAGTCCATAAATGTATTTATAGATTTGATTAGTCCATAAATGTATTTATAGATTTTATACATAGAAATGATGGGCCATTGTGCTATACTGTTATATATAGTCCGATAATATTAAGACCCACTTATGAATTTATGACACAGTCGTCGGCTATATATATGATACAGTCGTACATTTTGTACCGACTTATATTTACCAAATTGGATTAAGTACAAAAAATTCCTTAGGTTTCAGACTGATACTATACAAAATGACCCAACAATGTCAAATTGTCATAGTTCATTTTGATTTGTATACACCATAGAAAACCCGAAAATTCACCATTTTTAGAATCAAGCTTACCCCTTTTTTTATTTATTTATTTTTTTTGTTTTGTATTTATAGATAGAAAATCTACCCAAAAAAAAAAAAAAAAAGGTGAGTAAAAAAGGATGATGTATGTAGAGGAAAGTTTACCACACTCAAACTCATAGAAAAAGATTTTTCACTGTTAAGCAAGAAATGCATATTTGAACATGCCCCAATTTCACTTGGGATTTGACCAAATTACAAAGACGGCCAAGGAGCCAAATTGCTAATCAGTACCAAAGCTGAAAGCAAACATCATACAGTTCTTGCAAAATCGATCTTCCAAATTATGAGACCAAGAAACACTTGCTACATCTTGTAACTCGATATGAGCATCACAGACATTCCTACATTTCAAACTCTTGATAAAAAGCAATCTCTGCCAATTGCTGTGGAGCTCCTAAGCCCACACAATCGGAAAAGATCACTATCATTGAAGGACAAGCTGAGATTTAACCTAAGTTGAAAAGTTTGCTGCAATTTTTTTCAGACAAACAGCCAATAAACCAGTAAAACCAACTAGCAATGACTCTCCTAAAGAACAAATATGTTCTTGTTTGAAGAAAAGCTATACAACTAAAAACATAAAGGGCACCAGTGTTCTCCCAGTAAACAAATTATCACACATATACCCACTCTATTCACAGATATCAATGTAACTAAGTTTTGCTGTTGTAAATCGATTTGCAGAGAGAACGATCAGGTAGCAACAGCTAAATCAGATGGACGGGCAGAGCTGCTAGATTCACCTGTCGCAATTACACCCTTTGCAGATGAGTACTCACTCGAAGAAGCAGGTGCCTCGGGGTGTTTGATATTCAAAGAATCAGGAATATTATCAACAGCCTGTATATAGATAGGGCAGGGACCAAAGTTATTAATAGGCTGAGAAATGCTTGTATTGATCTGTTGTAATGCAATCAAATTTTTTCAAATTTATATAATGAAGTAACAGAGAACTGTAATAATAATACAAGTAAAAACAAGAGAAATACCTCTAAATGGGTCAGCATGTCAACTGCAGAATCTAGGTCACCGCTATTAACATAATAGACATCGGCAACAGACTGATCAGAAACACCAGGAAACATCATTTGTAGATAAGCTAGATCCATTTCAGACTCTTCATCCATGAATTTGATGTCTGTTTCCTGAGAATATTCGCAAGATACACCATCAGCAGCATTCTTCAACTTGTTGTCATCCTTAGTAGGGAGACCAACTACACTAACAGCATTCGGAAGGGTCTTAGGGTCTTTATGCTCATTTAGCTCTCTCTTGGAGATTGGTACATATGAAGCAGCGTTTGGATTCAAAGACGATGTGCTTGATTTCATTATGGCGACTTGCAGGAAAATGCTGCAATAAAAGCAAATAAAACACATCAACCAAGACCACTTACACTTAATGCTCAACGATGAGCCAAATCTGTTCACTGGAAATAATAGGTCCCTCCCCCCCACGTCACATAAAAAAAAGGTTGATTATGTGAAATTATTGGCTGATAACTAACTAACAATACAAATTTCAAACTTCCATTTCTGCAGAAAAGAAATATGCAATTTTTTATGACTTTTAAAATCTGTTATACCCATTCAACAATACAGAGCAGAATAGTCAACATGACAAGATAAAATCCCTATGACACATTTCTTTTGATCCAAAATACAAGTCGTTCCACAATATCAAGATTATCAACGCAACATGAAATATCACCCTTAAACATCAATGTAGTAACGTTTATCATATCTTAAAAATGCAATACTAAATGCCACTATACAATAAGAATGTACTTTCAACTTTCACAGAGTTCCAATTTCTAATCATGTCCAAAGCAACAAAAATCAACTTAAGCAGCTTGTTTCTTGGATTAGAAAGAGCAGTAAACTTCTGAAACGAGCCCCGTAACAAAACATAATCACGCACAAAGGCTACGAGTCATTAAACCGCCACGACAACATTCCAGTGGATACCAAATACCAAAACAAGTCAGCACACAGGCCATATTTTCTTTAAGCAAGTAATATTCCCCAGACTGTCAAAAACAGAATGATGGTGCCATTCCAGCTAAAAAGTAGGTATTCTGTATTCATTAGGTAGCAAGTATTAAGCATATACTAGCTACTCCACAAAAATATTAACATACTCATACCAAATTTAACCTAGCTTTAAATTCCCAAAATTAATCTGTTTCTCACCAAAATAAATTAGGGCAGCATAAAATTAATCCAATAACTCAGCAGAATAGCTCATTTCCAGTCAAAATCAACACAGTTAATCGCAAAATAAAGATAAAATCAACGATTTATCGACAATCAATAGCAACAAAAGGCAGAAATAATGATCAAACAACAAAAAATCATTCATACAATCAAACAAACATCAAAATAACAAAAATAATCAATAAAAATAGAAAAAAATTACAATAAAAAAGAACTCATCATTTCAAAGTCAATCGTTAATCAAAACAAAGATAGTTCAAAAGAAAGATGATCAAAAGAATAATGATCAACGATAAAAGATATACATCAAAGAAAAGAGAAAAGTACTCACAATAATTCGATTAATTGATTGATTGATCGATCGAAGAGAAAAACAAAGAAACCCTAGAAATGATTACGATTGATGATCGAAGATGAAAAGGTGCGAAGGTCTTCAAGAGAGAGAAAGAATAATGAAGCTACTTTAATTTCTGGAATTCTCGTACTCCGCAAATTTATAAAGGGGTAGATTCTGAGAATAATGGTAACCGTTTGGCTACTACACCATTTTATTATTTTTACCACCATTTAATTTTAATTACATAATTTTATTAACCAACCACTAATCCATTTTATTAGCATGATGTGGATGTCATGTATTGTTACAATTATTGGCATTTGGCAACCACCTCAACATAACACCAGCAACATACCCCAAATAAAATTTAAAAAAGCGTAAAAGTTTTGTGTGAGATAGTTTTACGGTTTTACGTTGTTTCGATGTGATATTTTTAGGTAGAAATTTTGTTTTATGTTATTTTTATTTCCATATTTGGTAATGAGCTAGATTTTATCCGTGTAAATGTGTAATGCACTAGTTAAAATTTTTATTTGGATTGAATTTTATAAACTTTTTTTTGTTTTCTTCCCAAATTGCACGTAACTTTAAAAATAGAATTTAGTTGTATATATTTTTATTTTGAAAGAGTATTTGTTGCAAATCTTGGATAGTAAAATTACGGAGTCAATGAACACTTAGTAAAAGTAAATGCAACCCTTAATAAAAATTGTAAAAAATGGACTATGACATAAGAGAGCTGATACACATACAGCTATTGTATGTTGTCCCTACATACAACACCATTAGAAATTTGACATATCAATTTAGGAATCAAATATAAATTGAATTTAATGAAAGTTGTGCCTATTATTTTAGCTAATAGAAACATGCCAAATTAGAGTTGTATGTAGGACCACATACAATAATTGTATGTGTAGCCTTTATGAAACTAAAATTAGTTAATCATGGTTATTTATTAATATAAATATACTAGTTAGGCTTCTAGCCCTTTTGATGCATAGGCCATTACTTATAGGTTAATTTTCTTAAAGTGCGTTGTTTGTTAGTGTTATGCATAGGTATTCATGTGAAGATTAAAAGGTCACCATAGAAGATTAAAAAAAAATTGCAATGACCGATTTTTATAAAAACAATTTTTTTTTTTGTTTTTTTTTTAAGTAGTATAACAGAATGATACACTTAATTATAGAAGATACACACCACAGTAGTAGAACAACTCATATATTGAAATTTTCTCAACACAGTTTTTTTCAATATATTAGTAACTCTGGTTTGTAATTCTGTATCACAAGTTAAAAGTGGTATCAGTTTACAACATTAATAGGCACAATTCAGCAATTCCTATTTTACAAGCAACACAATGAGTATGCATCAATAGCCAACTCACTACTAAATTATCAACAATGGCAACATCCGACGAGGGGTTTTATACTTATATGCCTACATGGACTGCATTCCGGCACCCAATCCAGTCTAGCCACAATAATGTCAACCATATCACCATAGACACCATCACGCGTCATCCATGCTTTCTGTTTCACCACCTAAACCACAGCAAGAGTCAAGGACATTATGAAATCCCATATTTTAAGCAAACCCAATCTAATGAATTGAGTCTTCAGAAATTTCTGCAAGAAAGCAGCATTGCATGGATTAAAATGAGCTGACCAGCATAAAGAGACGCGAGACAAGAATTTGCAGTCACAACCATAATTGCCCAGTCCATGGATTAGCCCCTCAACGCTGTCAAGAAATCACTTCAATGGTCATCTTCGTTTAGTCCAGGGCAGTCCATGGATTCATACTGAAATCAAGGAAGGTAAATTTCAGGGGTTAGCTATCAAATGATGCAACTTACAGTTATGCTATTTAACTATATGAGTAACAATATTAATATTGAAAAGGCCTCACAGACTCACAGTGATTTAGACACACACCTGACATCCACAAAAGAGGCAATAGTGATGTTCTTCTCTAAGCTTCTCCAACAACTCTAGCAAATCCTGTATCAGATACACCAGAACTGTCATTTAGCGAATTCATATAGTATAAAAGAAATAACTGTAACACACCATCGAAATAACTATGAATAGAGCCTTTTCATTTCAGACATACATGAGGCAAGAGGGGAAAAAAATCAGCCATATAATTTAATCAATTGCAGACAATAAGAATCATAGCGACCCTGGAAGTAGCACACTCAGGCATAGCCTCAGCTACGTGTGAAAACAAATTTTATCAATTGCAAACATTACGATTCATTAATGATAATAGACTTTGTCAAAAAAAAAAAAAAGATAATAGACACTACATCAATGATACTTAGCAGACCACTGACATTGGTATGCAGAGCCAAAAGAGTCACAAATGCAAGCGTCAGGCATAAATTGAAACTCAAATCAACTTAACGCAATAAAATACTCAAATTTCAGGCACGAGCATGACTTTTCTTTCCATAACTAGCTACACCATGGCTTGTGGCAGCAGTAAAAGATATGGAAGTCGAGAACAAAGAGTAAGTTGAAAAGGAAGATGCAGGAATACATCTAAAGCAAAATGTAAGCTCCATCCAAGTCATAATACAATTGTATTTGCTTATGATTCAACTCTTGTACTTAAAAACTTATTTAGCCAAAACTTATCCAAACTAGAAAATATTTTTCTAGCACCTTTATAGTCATGGACTAACTTTCCATTACACCTATAATACAATTCATAATACAATTCATTAATTCTATACTAGGGTTGTCCAAATTATTATCGTCTTTCCCTGCCTATATCATGTCACTCTCCTTTAATGGCTTCAATCTAACAACCTTTTATGACTTTTGCAGGAGATTATTTTAATAAAACTCACCCAATTGTCAAAGGATCATTAATCTACAACGATGCATTTATTTTAGCATGGCACAAATTAACTTCCAATAACAAGGTGAAAACAAAGTAGACTCACAAATCTAGTGCAAGTGCTTCATCTGCTGCTTGAAAACACTTGAACAGGTTAAAAATCTATGTAGCTCACTACAACGGCACTTTGTTTAGTCAAAACCAAGACAGGCTAAAGCTGAATATCTAATTACTCGTGATGATCAAGGTCCATGCATAAACCTCAAAAAAGTGTAATAATCACATCTTTTCGAGGCCTGTCATTTGTCTAAGCTCAGAACAGTAGGAGTATGAAATCCCACTGTTCTGATACTCTGATCTGTACAGTGTATAGTCTAAGCTCAGAACACTACATGAAAAATCGGACTACATGAGACTACATTAGACATGAGAATTTTTCACAGTGATGAACTAGATACTCAGATGTCTATGAAATCCTTTCCCTGCATGAGGTTCCCGCAACTTTACAGTTTACACCCTCACATTGATGGGAAATTTAGAAGAGTTGAGAAGACATAACATGCATTTCAACTGAATGACACCAGACTACCAGAGTACCACACAGATCAAAATCCCCCATCATCATATAACCATACATTTTAATCCTCCGGACCACGAGTCCACAACTACAAACCATGTAAAACGAAGCCACAAACCAAACTCTTTTCAAGTGAACCAGTTATTCATTATGTAAAAAAGATGGATCTGTCATTCTTAATAAAGAAAAATCAAATGATTCAGTTATTCCATTTTCTTTCGACACCTAACACAGAACTAAACACAGAATATGTCAATAACCCAACAACACATGATTATAATATACTCACAAAGTATCCTTTGGGATCCAACAGTCATAGATAGAACGCGGTCACAATTCACATAAATCCATATGTAGAAACTAAGGAAAAATTCCAAGTGAGATTCGAGTAAGGATATCAGCAATACAATACAAGAATAGCTACATAAACCAAATCGCTTATAGTCTTATGAAAGTGAAATAACAAATTCACTGGAAGATGGTAATCAATATGGCTAATCGGCTTTCACCAGAACTAAAGATTTCTGTACACATAAAGTGGATTGTCTTTGCACATATAATGTTCCTAGCTTAATAGAACAAGGATACAAGTATGATAGAAGAACACTTAAAAATATTCAACCTCAAAAGTCTTCACCCATTTGCACCAAATTCAAATTTTAATAAGAAGGCAAAATGTTGGGCAATACCAAACAATATAAGATGACAAATTACTCCAGTAAATATAAATCATGAATACATTGAACTTAAAATGAACACAATTCAACCATTTTAAATCCCAAGAAAATAACCATTAAACACAAACATATGACAACGCTAATAAAATTCAAACAACAAATATATTTCCAATAAAATATACCTCTTCAGTAATCACTTCCTCTTACTCCGGCTCAACCGATTCTCCAACTGATCAACCCCCGACTTCGCCTTATAATGGTTAATCACAACCCTGTTACTTTTCCATTGCAATTTTTGTCGAAACCCGAAATCCTCCAACATAACCTCCTCCGTTTTCGTCTTCCACACTTTATTAACTTTCTTGCAACTCTAAATAATCACTCTAAATAAACCCAATATATTTGATTTTTTCAAGAAACCTAATATTATATTTGATCGGGGAATTGTTGATTGGAGATTTTTCTAAGGGTAATACCGTAATAATGGGTTTTTAGAATCACTCAAAATAATAAGCTGACTTGGCATTTCTCCGGGCCCACCTGTATAAACGGTTACAGAAAACTGAATTTCCCGCTTTCTCTCTCCTCTGTAATAACAAACTAACACTCCCATTTTCTCTCTCCTCAATCTCACCAAATTCAAAGCTTACCGCCATTGTTACATTCGATCAAGCTTTTGCCCTAATCTTCATCGTCCACCTCACTACTTTGTTGCAACTTCAGTTCTACTGCTACGTTCTTTGATTTCGCATTTTTTCTCTCTCCTCATTCTCACCGACTTCAACCTCCGCCATTGTTACATCGATCAAGCTTCTGCGCTTTTCTTCGTCGTTCTCTTCAATACTCTCTTGCAACTCCTTTCTACATCTGCGTTCTTTGATTTCGCATCACGTCGCTTAATTCAACCATTCTTTGGTAGAATTTCGTTTGTTTGTTCATAATCCAATTTCGTTTCTTCAGGTATATTTTCCAGAATTTGAGCTTCAATTTTTATCTTTGTTCATCATATTTCTAGTAATATTGCATTGTTTATGCCGTTTTTTTTTTTTTTGCTTATTTTCAGATTTCTCTCGCCTCTTTCGATCAAGCTTTCGCGATAATCTTTGTCATTCACTTCGGTGCTTTCCTGCAACTCGTTTCTACCTGCTACATTGACAATTTCAGAGCATTATTTGCTCTCGATCGAATTTACGACTTTCCACTTCGTCCGGTAAACTTCGTAATTTTTTCTTTGTCGATTCATCTCGATTCTTGAATTTCCGGGCTTGATTTTCTACATATGTTTTACAGTTATTCTTGAGTACCGGTGTTCGTTTCGCCTTCTTTCGATGGATCGCACCGATGGTACGTCAATTCGTAATTTCATCCTATTTTTTCTATTTGCGGCGTCTATGTGGTATTGAATATATTATGCGTTGAGTGTAGTTTTTTGAATGTTTCTATGTAGTATGGAAGTATGTAACTACGTAATATGTGCTAGTGAATAATGATGATAGCTGACATGCATTTCATTTCTGAAGTGAATTTAGTAATTTACTAGCTTTTCAATTATATTATTGATGGCCCAATTTTATTTGATTGATCTTTGCTAAACAAATAATGACCCAAATGATAACCAATCCGTTTAACAATGCTAAAGTACAAAATAAAATTACTAGTTCACATGTTAAAGTACACATAAAATTACCCAAATGATAGCCATTGCAAAATGATTTCCATATGCAACTTGCAATTCATAACATTTCTCTATACCAACCAAGCCACAATCAATTTATTTAAATAAAAAAATAATTTTCTAATATTATTATTTTAATTAACTTAGATGTAGAGACTCCTCTACTCCCAGACCAGCGGTCGGAGTCACCACCACCTGAGCAGCCGCGGGCACCTCTTGTCCATGTACAGCGGTCTCGCGGTTTTACTGCTTTAGGACTACCGTCCCTCCCCACTTTGAGTCTCCGGTCGACTCATCCCCGTCTGTCGCTGCTACGAGGCACACCTCCACTCCGGGTTTCTGACACGAGCCAGACTCAGCCCGAGGCGAGCCAGACTCAGCCCGAGACAAGCCAGACTCAGCTTGGCACGACTCCAGTACCGCCCGGCTCGACACCAGCAGAGCATGGCCTGGCTTACCGCGTGTTGAGCATACTGAGGTAAGTTCTATATTTCTAATATATTGTTTTAGTATTTTATGTGTTTCTCGATCTTGCTAATGTTTATCTAGGATCTTGCTAATGTCTAGCAATCAACTAGCATAGTTCCCGTGCGATGCACGTTTTACAAATCAACATATTAATTTATAATTTAATTTAATGATTAATGACAGAATCACTAAAATTAACAAATTAAACATTATAAAGACTCACAATAATGATCAATGGATAAATTAGAAAATGACAATGTAAATACTGTATATACAAACAAACATTCATCATTGTAGTAATATTTTACGATCCCTTAAACAAGTAAAATAAAATTTTAAGTTATTCTCATTTCTAATTTATTTTTAATTTTTCCAAATTGTGGGTTTCAATCCAGTGACAAAGGCAAACTAATAAAAAATATCATGATAAAATAATTTTTTCCTATGAATAAAGGTTTTATGTAGGTTTTACTTACAACAAAAAATTTAAGTTTGAAACTAACTCTATTTTTTTTATTAGTTGCAACTAATAAGAAATTTTTTATATCCCATAAATAATGCACCCTTGTTACAACTTGCAAGCAAAAGAAACAGGGGTAATATTAAAAACCAAATATGTTGAACATTAGTATGATTTATATAAATTTTAGAATATGTTCACTCAAATACCTAGCCAACCCTAGTACATACTATTCATCATGTTTTTTTTCAATTAAATTTCTATTTTTAAACCCGGCATAATACCCGTTTTGCGTTACCTCGAAAATGACAATGAACATACACACAAATATAGACTCACATAATGACCAAGGGATTAAGAAATGACAATGCAAATAATATTTTACATTCCCGTCAATTATAAAATAAAATTTTACAATATTCTCATTTCTAATTTACTTTTAATTTTTCCTAATTGTAGGTTTTAGTCTAGTAAAAGAGTCAAATAAATTAATTATAAACACCATAATAAAATATTTTTTCCTACTATAAAGGTTTTATATAGGTTTTACTGTACACAAAAATTTAAGTTTGACTTTTAAAAACTAATACTAACTCCCTTTTTTATTAGTTGCAACTAAAAAATATTTTTATATCCCATATATTATACCTCTTTGTTGCAAGTAATAAGAAGCAGGGATAGTATTTTTTTTTTAAAAAAATGTTGAACATTAATTAGTATGTTCATATAAATTTTAGAGTAGATTCAGTCAAGTACAACCCTAGTACATTGTACTCATCATGTCTATTTATTAAAAAAAAAAAAGAATCATTTTTTGACTCCGGATAATACTTATTATGCATTAGCCCAGAAGTAACCCTAAAATAAAGTAAAAATAGGAATATAATGAAATAGAGTAATTATCAATTAAAAGGTAAAAGTGAAAAAGGTAAAATATTGTTGAACGTGAATAAGTGTGGTTAAATTAAGAAAAATATTACATATAGTGGCAAAGTTGATGACAAATATTATTATTTCAAAATTAATTATATATACTATGAAAAAAGATACTCCGTATATTTTTTTTTTTTGAGGCAAGATACTCTGTATTATAGTTATAATAAAATTATAAATATAGGTTATATTTGAATCAATCATTTTAAAAAAATTGTTAACATATTAGCAAAATTCATTAAATATAAGTTTTCATAAATGAACTTATTTCCAAATAATTTAGATTCTATCAAATTTTATTAACAAAAATTCTGAATCAAAATGATTTATATAATAAATTTGAACCAAAATTATTGTTCTAAGGTTTCTTTAATTTTTTTTAACCATTATACGACAAGCAAATCATAGAGTGACATGTGTCAGCCTCACATTGATTTGCTTGTCTTTTAGTATAATACTAGCATAGTGCCCGTGCGATGCACGATTTATAAATCAACTTATTGATTTTTTGAATAAGGCATTATTAATCCCGTAGGGAAAAAAACTAACATAATTCAATTAGTAATAAAGGGTTCATTTTTACTAACAAATTAATTTTGTCATTTGGATTTATTTTATTTCCTTTTTTATATAATGTTATTTGTTTATTTGAAAAATAAATGAATAATACTCACATAATTATAAGAGATATAAACTAAATCTTTCCTACCTCCTATAGATATAAACTAAAATTTTCTTAACATAAGCAGCTATACAATCGAATATTTGTTTTACTCGTTGTATTCATCAAATTTTAGACACAATAATCACTTACCTTATATTTGACCCACCATATATACATTTTTCCTAAGCAAATCATTGTGTACGTCAAAAACAATTACGGACTACATAATATCCATACAACCAATCAATAACTGATAGAATATACAACACAAATATATAGATATGGATTTGGTAAATTTTTATACGAATGAAAGATATTTATTAAGATTTTTAAGAATAAAAGACAAATTTCATCAACTACTCAATCATGTATGTAAATATATATTTTTTATGGATATGTATTCTTATACTATAATTATTTAAATTTTGAATATTAGCATTAAATTAGTAAGGAAATATGAAAAATTAATGGTTATAGAAAAATAATATTTTAAAAGTGTGAGAAATCTTTAATTATTATATATGCGTAAATTTTGGCATAATTATTGTTAGGAAAATATTGTTTAACTCTTTTTTATGAAAAAGTTACATTAGATATATATTTTTAATCTAAGTTAATTTATTTTCAATAAATTGTATTCCCCCTAAAAAAAATTCAATATATTGTATATTAACAATTCATAGACTCTACATTAATCTAAAATTAAATTATTAAATTAATTTATTCACCATGATTCTTTAAGAGGGGTATGGTCAAATATCATAGTGAATGTCATATTGAAGAACAATATATTAATCTTTCCATAATATAGATATATAATATGGCCTTGAAATGAAAAATATAAAGACATATATGCTATGACTATGGCTATTATTTATATAGATGATAATACAAAAAAAAAAAAAATATTGTATCTTATTTTATTATTTGAATACTATGATTTGAATTGTATATTTTAAGAATATTTTATTATTAATGTATTTTTTGAATATTTCATTTTTACCGTATCATGCTACCATTATATTTGTAGACTTTTTATTTATTTATTTGAGAAATAATATTTCTAGACTTTACTATAATAGATGTTCTTACCATTATGCTCGTATTATGTAGTATGAAATACTTGTATAATTCTTTCCTTTGTTCATTATGTCACAATAATATTGCTAAACTTTACTATAATAGATGCTCTGACCATTTTCACGA